CATTGAATGCCCCTCATTTTATTCAGGAAAAAACTGAGGCACACACAAGGACCTGATGCCATCTATGAGTCGGGCTGAAGCTGCACCCAGGTCCCCTGACTTTTAACACCGGGTCCTCTTGGGGTTCCCATACCTGTCTCTAGCCCACACACAGGGCTCCTGGCCACTCCCAGCTCCTTATCCCCCCGCGTCCCCCCTTTCTGCATCCAAAGTGGGTTACTGGATATGCCAAATGCAGGCCTGGAAGGGCTCCTTGGCCTCAGATTGGAAAGTTACCTTTCAGACCCACAGCCCAGGGGCCAGAGAGAGAGGGAGGTGGGACAGCTGATTATAGCTTCTCCCCTGAGTTGGGGTGGATGAGGGGCACACAGGGGAGCCACGGGGCCCCTTCAGGATCACAGCACGTCAAGGTTGGAAGGAACCTCAGTGAGTAACTCGCTTGCTCCCCAGCCCCCCACCATCACATCATACAGATGAGGAAGCGGCCAAGACAGTGAGGGGCGGGAACATCCTAGCAAAGCTCCGGACTCGAGGCTCTGGGCTTCTTTCCGTTCTAAGCCCTTCAGAGAGTCCCAGTGAGTTCCAACTTTTGGCAAGGGGGTGAGAGGATGACTGAAAAAGGCTCAGTAGAGTGGAAGGAGCGTACGTCAGCAGGGGCAGGGGCTCAAACCCGCCCCGGCCGGTATAAAGGGCGGACACGCTAGTGGAGAAGACAGATGTTAAACTGGCAAACACAGGGATGAAAAGAAAGCATATGTCTCCCTTCTCTTCTGCCATAGGCCCCCATAACCCGGTAGGTGTCAGGGGCAGAAACAGGACTGTGTGAAGTCTAACAGCCCCCCGTCCCTTGCCTTCAGGGAGCCTTGGCATCTATCCCTGCTCCAGTCAGCTGCTAGAGTACGAGGATGAGGCAGTATGAGGACGAGGCAGGGGTGGGCAGGCTGTGCTGGTTCACGCTGGGTGGGGGAAGTGTCCAGAGCGCAGGATGAGGCTTGAGTGTGGGGACAATTGTCATGCAGGGAGAGGTGGGACTGTGAGTGGAGGGTTGGAAGTTGGATGTTTCTCTCTGCACTGTGCTAAGAGTGACTTAGAGACAGCTCAGCTGTTTCGGCTCACGCTGGTTTGTTTATCTGTTTGCTCATTTTTCCATGCCCTTTGTCAACAGGAATGGTTTACACATTTATTTATTTATTTATTGAGATGGAAGCTCTCTCTGTCACCAGGCTGGAGTGTGGTGGCATGATCTTGGCTCACTGCAACCTCCACCTCCCAGGTTCCAGCGATTCTCCTGCATCAGCCTCCTGAGTAGCTGGGATTACAGGTGCACACCACCACGCCTGGCTAATTTTTGTAATATTAGTAGAGATGGGGTTTCACCATGTTGGTCAAGCTGGTCATGAACTCCTGACCTTGTGATCCACCCACCTCAGCCTTCCAAAGAGTTGGATTACAGGCGTGAGCCACTGCACCTGGCCTATTTTTTATTTAATTCAATTAATTTATTTATTATTGTATTTTGTTTTATTTTATTTTTTGAGACTCACTCTGTCGCCCAGGCTGGAGTGCAGTGGCACAATCTTGGCTCACTGCAACCTCCACCTCCTGGGTCCAAGCGATTCTTCTGCCTCAGCCTCCCAAGTAGCTGGACTGCAGGTGTGGACCATCACGCCCAGCCAATTTTTGAATTTGTAGTAGAGACAGGGTTTTGCCATATTGGCCAGGCTGTTTTCAAACTCCTGACTTTGTCATCTACCTGCCTCAGCCTCCCAAAGTGCTGGGATTACAGATGTGAGCCACCGTGCCTGGCCTATTTTTAAATTTTTTTTGAGACAGAATCTGACTCTCTTACCCAGGCTGGGTGGTAGTGGCGCTCTCTCTGCTCACTGCAATCTCCACCTCCTGGGCTCGAGTGATCCATTTTCCTCGGCCTCCCAAAGTGCTGGAGTTATAGGCACAAGCCACCAGCCCTGGCTGGTTTACACATTTTTTTTTTTTTTTTTTTTTTTTGAGATGGAGTTTCGCTCTTGTGACCCAGGCTGGAGTGCAATGGCGCGATCTTGGCTTACCGCAACCTCCGCCTCCTGGGTTCAGGCAATTCTCCTGCCTCAGCCTCCCGAGTAGCTGGGACTACAGGCACGCGCCACCATGCCCAGCTAATTTTTTGTACTTTTAGTAGAGATGGGTTTCACCATGTTGACCAGGATGGTCTCGATCTCTTGACCTCGTGATCCACCTGCCTTGGCCTCCCAAAGTGCTGGGATTACAAGCTTGAGCCACCGCGCCCAACCCTGGTTTACACATTTTTAAATATAACACCTAATTATTCAGTATTTACTGAGTGCCAGACCCTGTGTGAGGTACATAGAGCAACAAACAGAACAGACACGGATGCTGGGCACAGCGGCTCAGCCTGAAATTCCAGCACGTCGGGAGGCTAAGGTGGGAGGATCGCCTGAGACCAGCCTGGGTAACAGAGGGAGACCTTGTGTCTACTAAAAATAAATTAGTTGGCCATAATGGCCTCAGCTACTTGGGAGGTTGAGGTGAAAGGATCGCTTGAGCCTGGGAGGTTGAGGCTGCAGTGAGCCATGATCGTGCCACTGTTCTCTAGCCTGGGTGACAAAGCAAGACCCCATCTTGACAAACAAAACAAAACAAAGCCAAGGCCAGGTGCAGTTGCCGACATCTGTCGTCCCAGAACTTTGGGAGGCCGAGGCAGACAGATCGGTTGAGGTCAGGCGTTTAAGACCAGCCTGGCCAACACGGTGAAACCCCATTTCTAATAAAAATGCAACAATGGCTGGGTGTGGTGGCTCACACCTGTAATCCTAGCATTTTGGGAGGCTGAGGTGGGCAGATCACCTGAGGTCAGGAGTTCGAGACCAGCCTGGCCAACATGGTGAAACCCTGTCTCTACTAAAAATACAAAAATTAGCTGGGTGTGGTGGTGCATGCCTGTAGTCCCAGCTACTCAGGAGGCTGAGGCAGAATTGCTTGAACCCCAGAGGCAGAGGTTGCAGTGAGCTGAGATCTTGTCATTGCACTCCAGCCTGGGCAACTGAGCAAGACTCTGTCTACAGGAATAAAAAAAAAAAAAAAGGTTCCTGCCCTTGTGAGGCAGACACACTAGTGGGGAGGACAGATGTTAAACGGGCAACACACATACAAAATAATGTTAAGTGCTGTGGCGAAACTAGGGCCTAGCCAGAGGGTACTGGGTGCTGGTGGGGGCAGAAAAGGCCCCGCTGAGCCAGAAGGAAAAGAAGTGCCGCCATGTGAGAAGGGGTAAGACCATGCCAAGTGGTGGGAACAGCTAAGGATGTGCGAAGATCCCCAGGTGGAAGAGGAAGTGGCAGGTCCAGGGAGCCCACAGGTTGGCAGGGCTGTGCAGGTGATCAAGGGGAGGAGACAGGTGGAGAAATGGGTGTGGCTGGCTCCTGCGAGTTCAGGGCAGAGTTTGCATTTTATGGCAACCACTGGAGGGTGTAAACACAGGAGAGACAGGACACAATGGACATTTTAGGAAGGTCACTTTGCTGCTGTATGGCAAGTTGCCTGGAGGGGACAGGGTGGAGGCAGGAGACTGCTGAGAGCTGTCACAGTCGTCTAGGTGAGAGGACTGGGGCCCAGGCCTTGGAGATGGAAGAGGAGCGCAGCTGCCACCTGTGAAATTGTCACCTGTTTGGGAGGCAGAGTGGTCAGGACCTACTGAAAGGTTGTGTAGGGGTGAGGGTGAGCATGGGGTCATACTGAGCTGGATGCCCAGGGACAGGGGGCACTATTTCCATGGATTCCGCAGGCAGGGGAAGGGAAGAGTAGCCTCCTCCCGCAGAGCTCCACAGAAGGGGCCAGGGCTGGTGAGGAGGGGAGCAGAGCAGAAGGAGAGGGAGAAACAAAGTGAATGCATGTATCAAAATGTCACTTGTACTCTATGTACAATTATTATGTATCAATTCTTTTGAAAGTGGGGCTGGAGAGCAAGCAGGGACAAATATCTCTTCTGCACTACCACAGGACCTGAGCAAGCGGGACCTACAGGAACACAGGGATGCCCTGGGCCTTCAAAGAACCACCAGAGCCTTGGTACTGTGAGGAGGATAGGTGTCAGTGAGTTTCTCCAGGACTCCCTTACGTTTTACACACGTGGACCCAGAGGCCCAGGAGAAGGGGAAGACTTTCCAGTTCATGCATCCCCACTTGGCACACAGTCTAAAGTCTTAAAATTACAAGCGGGGCGGGGGGGGGGGGGGAACGGGGGCTGGGCATGGTGGCTCACGCCTGTAATCCCAGCATTTCCGGAGGCCAAAGCGGGCAGATCACTTGAGGTCAGGAGTTTGAGACCAGTCTCCCCAACATGGTGAAACCCATCTCTACTAAAAATATAAAAATTGGCCAGGCGTTGTGGCAGGCGCCTGTAATCCCAGCCACTTGGGAGGCTGAGGCAGGAGAATCGCTTGAACCTGGGATCTCTTGCCACTGCACTCCAGCCTGGGTGACAGAGCGAGACTCTGTCTTAAAAACAAAAGACAAAAACCATGCCGGGTACAGTGGCTCACGCCACTTTAAGAGGCCAAGGTGGAAAAATAGCTCAAACCCGAGTTGAGACCAGACTGGGCAACATGGCAAGATTCTGTCTCTACCAAAAAAAAAAAAAAAAAAAAAAGCCGGGCGTGGTGGTGTGCCTGTGGTCCCAACGACTCAGGAGGCTGAGGTGGGAGGATCCGTTGAGCTTAGTAGTTCCAGGCTGCAATGAGCCGTGTTCGCACCACTGTACTCCAGCCTGGGTGACAGAGCAAGATTCCGTCTCAAAAAATAAAAAAGCACTTAACCACATCTAGCCATGAGCACATCTACCCTCGTAAAACGTTTCCAGCGCGTCCCAGCGGTGCCCCTCATCATCTGGCGGCCCCTACGCCTCTCTGAGGCTCACAGACCTACTCGCCTCTCCAGGGGGAGGAGCCCGCACCGCTGAGCCTTTACTTTTGTTCTCCCTCTGCCAGGGGCACCGTTCAACCCCCTTCTGCATGGAGAAGCTCCAGGATCCTTCCTCCAAGGATCCTTGAAGGCAGAAGGAGCAGCCACCTCCCACTCGTGGCTGCTGCAAGCAAGCTGCTTTGACCTCTTTCTGGAGCTGGGCTTGGTGCTGGAGTCCGAGTCTCCGGCCCAGGGTGGGTCCGATGGTCTTGCTTGCACCCTGTATCCCCCGACAGACGCCCGTGAAGTTTACTAAGTGGGTGACCCCAGAGAGCTCGCCCCACACTCCGACTCCGAGTCCAGCGCTCGGTCCACTGCACGGGGACGTCGCGCCCCGGAGCTGCGTCCCCTCTGCCCTTCGCGTTCCGGTGCCCCGCCCGCGGAACGCCCCGATCTCCAGGGGCGCGGAAGGCCGGGGCCAGACTGGAGAGACCGGAGCAGTTAGCTGACTGGCGGGCGCCGCTAGCCTCCCGGTCATGTGACACCCCGGGCAACGTGCGTCGTCACGTGACGGCGGAGCCTGCGAACGTTTTTCTCACGTGACGGAGGCGCCTGCACATGGACCAATGGGGAGATGGGGGCGGAGCCGGCAGGGGCGGTGCGCGGGAAGGGACCCCGGGCTCGGCGGCCGCGGAGAGCCGGGCAGTGCTGGCCCTGGTTTGGGCGCCGGGGCAGCATGAAGTGTCTGGTCACCGGCAGTAACGTGAAGGGTGAGTGCGGGTCGGCCTGGCGGCGGCGGTGCAGAATCCGCGAAACCCGCCAGCCTAACCCTCTTCCGCTCTCCTCCCCGCAGTGCTCGGCAAGGCCGTCCACTCCCTGTCCCGCATCGGGGACGAGCTCTACCTGGAACCCTTGGAGGACGGGGTGAGGGGCTGGGGTGCGGGGGGCGGGTGGGACTCCAGCCGGGAACGGGTAACCGGGACTCGAGTCTTGCCTCCACCAGGCGGGGTGACCGCGGGCAGATTTGCCGGAGGAGTTTCAGTTTCTTAGCCTGGCGCCTGTCATCTTCCCAGGCGCAGCAGGGAAGTGTGAGTGGAGGGAAGCTGGCCTCCTGCGAGCGCCTGGGGGGAACTCGGGGGAAGGCCCGGGTGTGCGACCCCTCCATGCTGCCGCAGCGCCGAGGCCGACTCTGAAAGCTTCATGGGGAAGGGGGGTTTCAACAGGTGGTGGCGGAGCGGGAGGACGACAGGGCAAGTGTGGGCAGAGGCAGCCAGAGGGCTGGGTCTGTGGCTGCCCCCTGACCACGTCCCTCTCCCTGCTCTTCGTGGCGCAGCTCTCCCTCCGGACGGTGAACTCCTCCCGCTCTGCCTATGCCTGCTTCCTCTTTGCCCCACTCTTCTTCCAGCAGTACCAGGCCACCACCCCCGGTCAGGACCTGCTGCGCTGTAAGATCCTGATGAAGGTGAGGCCCTTCCCTCAGCAGTGGCACTGCCCCACCCCGGGAATCTCCACCAGCTGTGCTTCTCCGCTGGGGTACTCAGTAGATGCTAAGTGGGGAGAGAGAGACACGTGCAAGCCCAATCCATGCAAATCAGAGGGAGAGGCATGGTAAAAGCATCACAGTGGGGACCTGAGAGGGTGGTGACGCTCAAGTTCGTTAAGAAAGGTAAGCAGGTCGGCCTGGCGCGGTGGGTCACGCCTGTAATCCCAGCACTTTGGGAGGCCGAGGCAGGTGGTTCAGGAGATCGAGACTATCCTGGCCAACGTGGTGAAACCCTGTTTCTACAAAAATACAAAAATTTAGCTGGGCGTAGCGCGCACCTATAATCCCAGCTTCTCGGGAGGCTGAACCAGGAGAATTGCTTGAACCCAGGAGACGGAGGTTGCAGTGAGCCGAGATCACTCCATTGCAGTCCAGCCTAGCAACAGAGGGAGACTCCGTCTCAAAAAAAAAAAAAAAAAAAAAAAAAAAGGCAAACAGGTCTTTCAGGGCATTCCAGGCATAGGGAAGAGCATGACTGAGGCCTAGAAGGGTGCCAGGGTCTCGCATGGTGTGGGAGCCCTTTCCCCAGTTTCATGCTGGGCCCATGATGGGCAAGGGCCTGCGTGGGACAGGAAAGCTGGTCGCAGAGATACGGTGCCAGGCTGAGGTGTCTTACCCTATGCAGTCCTTCCTGTCTGTCTTCCGCTCACTGGTGATGCTGGAGAAGACAGTGGAAAAATGCTGCATCTCCCTGAACGGCCAGAGCAGCCGCCTGGTGGTCCAGCTGCACTGCAAGTTCGGTGAGTGGGCAGTCGGCCGGCCAAGGGATGCCTCAGCCAGGAGGTTGGCGAGGCCCACTGAGACCCTGTCGCCCATCCAGGGGTGCGGAAGACTCACAACTTGTCCTTCCAGGATTGCGAGTCCCTGCAGGCCGTCTTCGACCCAGCCTTGTGCCCTCATGTGCTCCGCGCCCCAGCACGGTGAGCACAGCCTGCCCTCAGCTCCGCCCCAGGTCTGTCTCTTCCTTCTTTGGGGCCCCAAAGGTTGATTTCAGAAGGTGCCTCCTTCATTTTCCCTACAGAGTTTCTGTGAGCCTCAAAGACGTCCCACGGCCCTCTGCGCTCAGGTCCTTACCTGGCTCTTTAAAGGCTGAGGGCAACTGAAGGTTTGCCCCTGACCCCTTCTCTGGCCTGGGCATCCTTCTGGAGGTATTCCCCATTCAAGGGCAGCCTCTCTCCCTGACTGCCTAGGATCTAGCTTTGAGGAGTCCCCAAGGTCAGGGCAGGAGGCCGCCTGAACAATCGGCTGTGGGGTAGAGCGGTTCTGGGCAGTCCAAGCACTGGGGGCTCTCGGGGGCCAGGGAAACAGGAACTCAAGTGGAAGCAAAGGTCCCCGGAGAGGACCAGGTTGGAGAGGAGTGGGCTCTCCCCCTGCCTCACACTGGACACTGCTTGCATTCAAGTGGCCCAAGGTCCTGTTCATTTTTCAGGGTGACTGAAGGTCCCTTTGGGTCCTGACATGTTTCCCCAGGTTCTCTTGAGCCATCACTGCTCAGAGCTCTTTTGGGTAGTGAGAGAGGGATTTTTTTTTTTTTTTTAAATGAACAGTTGTCTTGTTTGGAGATGGAGTCTTGCTCTGTCGCCTGGGCTAGAGTATAGTGGTGTGATCTTGGCTCACTGCAACCTCTGCCTCCTGCCTCAGCCCCCCGAGTAACAGGGATTACAGGCGTGCACCACCATGCCCGGCTATTTCTTTTTTTTTTTTGGAGACTGAGTTTCACTCTTGCTCCCCAGACTGGAGGACAGTGGCAAGATCTTGGCTCACTGTAAACTCTGCCTCCCAGGTTCAAGTGATTCTCCTGTCAGCCTCCGGAGTAGCTGGGACTACAGGTGCCCACCACCACACCTGGCTAATTTTTCTAGTTTTAGTAGAAATAGGGTTTCACCACGTTGGCCACACTGGCCTTGAACCCCTGACCTCAGGTGAGCCGCCTGCCTTGGCCTCTCGAAGTGCTGGGATTACAGGCATGAACCACCATGACCGGCCCAGTTTTTGTATTTTTAGTAGAGAAGTTTTACCACGTTGGCCAAGCTGGTCTCGAACTCCTGACCTCAAGTGATCTACGGTTGGGGTCTCCCCAAATGCTGGGATTACAGGTGTGAGCCACCGTGCCTGGCCACTCTGTTTTTCTTTTTTTTCAATCCTCGTGAAGGGGCCTTGGGAATCTTTGCATCCTCCCAGTTTTAGCGTATGTGCTGCGGAAGTGAGTACTCTGTCTCATGAATAGTTTCAAGTATATGTAAAAGCAGAGCAGCTCCTGTCCCCACTGGACTTGAAGCAGATTCCAGATGTGATCCATCTGTAGAGCGGTGGGTATACTTAGAGGGTAAGCATTTCAGGCCTCTTTCTGAAGGCCAGCTTGGTAGGGCAGCGTGAGTGCCGAGTCCTGCCTCTGTGCCCTCTCCCTGCCGCCTTCTCTGGGCCTCATCCATGCGCTAGGCCTGTGCCCATCCATGTGGGTGCCTGTGTCACCCCTGCCTCAGGTGACAGGGCCAAGTATTTAGGGTGATGCTCTGCCCTGTTCACAGAGTCCTGGGGGAGGCTGTCCTGCCCTTTCCTCCTGCGCTGGCTGAAGTGACGCTGGGCATTGGCCGTGGCTGCAGGGTGATCCTGCGCAGCTACCATGAGGAGGACGCAGGTGAGGGAGCTGGACGTGGCGTGGGACAGAGCAGAGCTGCGGGTGGGAGAGAGGTGGGGCCCAGGTTCCTCCTGTTCTTCCCCAACAGATAGCACTGTCAGAGCCATGGTGACTGAGGTGTGCCTTGGGGAGGAGGACTTCCAGCAGCTGCAGGCCCAGGAGGGGGCGGCCATCACCTTCTGCCTCAAGGAATTCCGGGTGAGGATCCCCCCACGAATTCGCCTTGGGTCCTCCCTTCCTCGCCCAGCCCAGCCCAGGGCCTCACCTGCTACCTCTTCCCTCCCAGGGGCTCCTGAGTTTTGCAGAGTCAGCAAACTTGAATCTTTGCATTCACTTTGATGCTCCGGGCAGGTAATTTCCAGCCTCAGGACAGGGAAGGGCACTGGGATGCCAGGAGCTGAATGGGATGACCTAGCTTGGGGCTCCCCTCCCCGGCCCAGGCCTGCCATCTTCACCGTCAAGGACTCTTTGCTGGACGGCCACTTTGTCTTGGCCACACTCTCAGAGACAGACTCGTACTCCCAGGACCTGGGCTCCCTGGAGCGCCACCGGCCAGTGCCTCAGCTCCAGGCTCACAGGTAAGGGTGCCTCCCCCACCTAATCCTCTCCCCATGGGTGCACCCCAGCCTGAGACTGCAACTTCCAGCTTCTGCACCTCCCTAGCAATGTTTTCTCTCTCTCAATCTCCCTTTCCCCTCCGGCTCATCCCATCTCTCTCTCAGGCCCCAGCCTCTGCCCCTACAGTGTTCACAGCTGCCAGCCCTGCAGGCTCTGTACTCAGAGACCTCTTCCACCCAGGGAAGCAGCCCGAAGGACCTGCCGGCTTCCTTCTCTGGCTCAGGCTTCCCCTCTGAGCCTCCTCCCAGGCCAAGGAGGGAAAGGGCTGCTGGGAGGCAGGGAGCTGCCTGGGCCGAGGGAAGCAGGTGGCTGGAAGGGCAGGTGGGCTGGGGAGGATGGGCCCAGCGCTGTTTCAGCAGCGGAAGTTGGGGCTGGCCCCCAGCCCAGCGTGTCCCTGGGCTCCTGTGCTCTCCAGCTCCTGTCCCCTGGGAAGGAGGGGGCTTGGGCCCGATGTAGCCCATTTCACAGGACTTGCTGCTCCCCTCCCCCAGCTGAGCTAAAGTAGACCAGGGATGCCTCCCTCAGGCCCCTACCTGAACTCTGATCAGAGACTCCTGGCCCACCCCCTCCAGGAAGCCCCCACTTACCCCTACATTCTCTCCTCTCCAGCCAAACCAGGAAGCCATAAAACCAAGAGATCTCCAGTGGTCAGGGGACCCCCACGTTGGTTTGGAGCCCTCCAAGGTGGGGCCCTGCCTCTGCACCCCTTCTCCCCTCCCTGTTCCTCCCTGACACTCCGATTGTGCCTACAGCACACCCCACCCGGACGACTTCGCCAACGATGACATCGACTCTTACATGATTGCCATGGAAACCACCATAGGCAATGAGGGCTCGAGGGCGCTGCCCTCCATTTCCCTATCGCCTGGCCCTCAGCCCCCCCAGAGCCCCGGCTCCCCCTCCGAGGAGGAAGATGAGGCTGAGCCCAGTACTGTGCCTGGGACTCCCCCACCCAAGAAGGTAGGGGCTGAAGGCGAAGGTGGGGGCGGGGGTGGGGGTGGGGAAGGGAGCCGCCTCCAGAACTCACTTGTTCCTTCCAGTTCCGCTCGCTGTTCTTCGGCTCCATCCTGGCCCCCGTAGGCTCCCCGCAGGGCCCCAGCCCTGTGCTGGCTGAAGACAGTGAGGGCGAAGGCTGAACTGAGAAGCTGAAGCCTGTACCAGGAGGCCTTGGGCCAGATGAAGCCCCAGCCAGTGGCAGAGCTGGGTCTCAGCCCTGGGCATCAGGAAGGTGGGCCTGCTGGAGCTGAGCTGTTCCGCTGCCTCTTGCAGGCCCCAGCTGCCACTGTGAAGCTGTCCCGCAGTGGTTGGGCCTCGGTCCTGTCATCTCTCTACAACCCCCAGCCAATCATGACTCTCCAGACCTGGTCCTGAACTACTGATGTTCCTGTTCCCCACTGAACATCAGGTTATACTCCAGCTGGCCAGGGCTGGAAACCTGTCTCCCTCACTCACCTTCCCAAGGAATATGTCACAGCAGGTGCTGCTGGCCCCTGCCGACCCAGCTATTCCTTCCTGAAGTCCTGGGCGTGCATCTGGGACCCCCTGGAGCTGACAGTTTTTCTTGCTTTCCTGAGACTCTTGGAATTCTAAGAGCCTTGGACCTGAGTGTGGCTAGGACCTGGTGTCCAGCCTCCTGTGTGGCTCTGTGCAGGGCTGCCAGGCAGTGTCTTAGATGGGAGACGGAGACCATGGTGAGAATCCAGCTTTGACCTTTATTCAAGAGACCAGATGGGGTTGCCCCAGGATCCGGCTGCCAGCCCTGAGGCCAAGCACGGCTGGAGCCCCATGACCTGGCCTGCCGGTGCCCTGAGCTGCAGCCTCAGCCCCGGGATCCTGCTCACAGCCCCCGAAGGTGCAGGCAGGAAGAAGCCCTGGGGGATTAGACGCTGCTATTAATTCATTAAAAAAAAAAAAAAAATACACCAAGGCTCCGTGTTCCCCATGACAGGTGGGCCTGAGGGGCTGGTGTGACACCCGCCCCCCCATGGCAGCATGATTTCTGTACAATCAATCCATCATCTGGGGTACGGGCCGGTGTGCGGGGGCTATTTCTTGGCTTTGGCGGAATTGCGGGGCGGGGTGATGGGTCGGCCTCCAGGGTTCAGGCCACTGAACTGCCCATATTTCCCCTTGTTCTTGTCGGCGGGCTTGAGGATCTAAAAGAGACAAGGTTGGTCAGGCTTGTGGGGCTGAGCCACAGGGCCTAGCGGCCCCCTTCCCCATGCTTACCTGGAAGGAGCACATGAGGGTCTCATCCACGCTCATCATGGCACCAGCATTGTCAAACTCGCCACAGTAGTTGGGAGCTGAGAAAAGTGTCACCAGCTGCCTCTTGGCAAAGAACTCATAGCCATCTTCTACCACCTGGGTGCAGACCAGAGCAGTCAGTTCTGCATGCTGGCACTGGCCTCCCTTTCTCCCACCCCAGGCCAGAGCTGCCAGCCCACCTGGTGCGCCCGGCAGATGAGGTCCAAGTCGTGCTTGTGCAGGAACTTGGCCACCACCTCGGCTCCGAAGGTAAAAGACACGCCACGGTCGTTCTCGCCCCAGCCTTGCACGTCCTTGTCAGGGTCAGACCACAGTAGGTCACACAGCAGGCCCTGGTCAGGCACGTCTGTGGGCCGCATGATACGCCGGATCTGCTCCATGGATTGCAGGTCTGGGGACAAGCCTGGGGGACCGGGGGAAGTCCACATCCTCAAACAAGGACATCCTCACTCCAGGAAGCTGTGGCCAATCAGCCTCACCTTTCCCACTGCCCCCTTGATTCCTCCACAGGTCACCTGGGCACCCAGGCGGCAGAAGTCATCCCCTTCCCCTCAGCTTTTGCAGGTTCCCAAAGAGGCACAAAGATGTCCCCGCCCTCAGGAGCGCAGAGCTCCCGGGAGATAGACAAGCCAAGCCTATTCCATGTAGGATGCACAAGGGAGTCAGCGCAGCCCGGCACAGGGGTATGGGAGACACTTCCCAGAAGGAGTGACTTCCCAGATGAGACAGACCTAAGGAGAGCTGGCCCGGCAATGGGGGATGCGGCCAGGTCTCCTTGTCCCCAGCCGTCCCCTCCCTCACCTCCGTGGCAGCAGAAGATCTTTTCATCCACGATGGCTGCGATGGGCAGGCAGTTAAAGCAGTCCGTGAAGGTTTTCCACAGTTTGATGTTGTAGCGTCTCTTGCCTGCCCAGGAGATGGCTGTGAGGGGCCCGCCTACCCCACCCTCCACCTGGGTCCCTGGGCTATTCAGACGCAGATGGGAGGAGAGAGGCTTGGAGGCAAACCACCCTGCACCCTGCCCCTGTCCCCACTCCTGCCCCTGCAGCCTATCAGCCTTCCAGGAACTATTCTCTTTACTTTTTATTTTAACTTTTAATTAAACAGTCTTGCTCTGTCACCCAGGGTCAGCTGGAGTGCAGTGGCGAGATCATAGCTCACTGTAACTTGGAGCTCCTGGGTCCAAGTGATCTTCCTGCCAGAAGTAATTCTAAAGCACCCAAGTCCAATGAAAACTGAGTTCCAATCTGGACCGGCCTCAGGGCTGGCACTCCCCAAACACCCCCACCCATAAGCTGGGCCAAGTACAGGTCTGGTTTATCTCAGCTTCTGGACAGCTGAGCCCATCTGCAAACACATCCTAAGTGCTTAGTAGCAGATGTAAGTGGAGCCTCACCAGGCAGGGCCCTGGGAGCAAGCACCAGAATACCAGCAGCCTTCCAGTCAGCAACCATGCCCCAGACCCCGTGCCAGGCAGGGCAGGGCAGGCACGAGAATGGAGCGGGCCCTGCCTTCGTGGAGCGCACAGTCTAGCAAGTGTCTGTCAGATACGAAGCCAATGTGAGGGTCCCACTGAATAGCAAGGAGCGTTTCGGGACCCGGGCAACCCTGGGTGCTCAGACCACTCACACTCATCGTAGAAACCATAGATGCGGTTGATGCTGGCACACTCGTGGTTCCCACGGAGCAGGAAGAAGTTCTCGGGGTACTTGATCTTGTAGGCCAGCAGCAGGCAGATGGTCTCCAAGGACTGCTTGCCCCTGTCCACATAGTCCCCCAGAAAGAGATAGTTGCTCTCCGGAGGGAAGCCCCCATACTCAAATAGTCGCAGAAGGTCGTAGTACTGGCCGTGGATGTCACCTGTGACCCATGGAACCGAGTAAGCTAGATGCTGGGTCTAGACTTGAACCCAGGGCCAGGACTAGGCTCAAGGGAGGAGGGCTCCAGGAACTTTGTGGGGGCCAGTGCCACTTTTAGGAAGCCAAAGGGGCCTGGGCGAGGCTGGGGGCTGCTCACCGCAGATCTTGAGGGGTGCCTCCAGCTCCAGGAGAATGGGCTGGCTCAGGAAAATCTCCCGGGATTTCAGGCACAGACCGCGGATCTCGTTCTCTGTCAGCTGTACATTCTTGCCAGGCCGCGAGCCCTGCACTGGGGGCGCAATGCGGAGTCAGGACCCTGGCCTCTCAGACAGGGGGAGGGTGGGCGACACGGTGGCCCCGTGGATACCTCCGGGGGCGCCTAGGCCTCCTCGGCCCCTCCTTGCCCAGAGGCAGCTGTTGCTGCTGAGCCTCCTGGGACGTCGGCCTCAAGCCTCCCAAGGGAAGCCCCCCTAGTTATCCTCAAAGGCTCGGGAGGCGACTGTCGTGCGCAGGGGGCTGCCGCCCAAAACCTCACAGCGCAAGACACCTCCCTGGACCGGGCTTCCCGGGTTTCTCCCTCGCCCCAAGAGCCGAGGCAACCCGTGAGCCCCCGGCCGGGGAGAGGGGGCTGCTCCGCGCCTCGAAGCCGGCCCCGGACCTCTCAGGCGCGTCCGCGGGGGGGGGCGGCTGCGGCCACGGAACCTCGCGGCGCGTCCCCGCCCAGTCTAAGCTGGCCCCGGGGGCCCGCCCGCGCGCCACTTCCGGGCTGGGCAGGGGTCCAGGGCGCGGCGGACGCGGACCTTCCCCACCCCGGCCAACCTTCCAGCAGGCGCCCGATGATCGAGTCCAGGTTGAGCTTCTCGCTGTCGGACATGGCGGCGCCGCCGCTCCAGTCCAGCAGCTCCGGGCCCGCTCCCGTCTCCCGCCCTCCGGCTGCCTCCTTCCGGCCTGGCTCTCCTTCCGCCCGCCCCAGTCCGCCCCCGGCCCGCCGCTCCGCCTCCGGGCCTCCCGGGCCCGCCCTGCCCGGCCCCCCGCGCTCTAGCGCCCCCGCTGGATGTGAGGCGCGGAGGCCCAGGGGGCGGGGCCTCGGCGGCGGGCTGGGGGCGGTGTCTGTCGGGGGCGGGGCCGAGGCTAGTTACGCCCGAGAGGAGGCGCCCAGCTCCGTTTCGAGGATGTGGGGCCGGAAGGAATGTGGAAGTTGTTTTTCTCTTTCAAAAGCTGAACAGCCCTTCCCACCCCTGCCCTGGGTGGAGGGTGTCGTGAACACGTTAATAACCGGCTGCCCCGCACTGAGGGTTAACTTCTCCAAATGCAGAAAGGGAAACTGAGGTTCAAGACATAGCGACAGGCTGGTTCAAGACCTGGACCTCGCTTGCACCGAGGACCCCCTTCCTCGTGGGTCTCCGTGGCCCCCAGGCGGCTGACCACACTCAAAGACAGCTAGAATTCCCAGCGCACTTTGGTCCTTGGGGCATGCTAAATTAATATTTTCTTATAAGTCCCATAATTAGCTTTTTTTTTTTGAGGCGGGTTTTGCTCTGTCCCACAGGCTGGAAGGCAGTGGCGCGACCTTGGTTTAATGCAACCTTCCCCTCTTGGGTTAAAGCGATGACAATGCCTCAGCCTCCAGAGTAACAGGGACTACAGGCGGATGTCACCGCGCCCGCTAATTTTTGTATTTTTATTAGACGGGGAGTTTCCATGCTAGCCAGGCTGGGATCACAGGCCTGAGCCATCACACCTGGCCCCATAATAAGCTTTGAGTAGCACAGTAATATTGCAGGGTGTGCACGTAAAAAGAATTATAAAGAGTAGACATTACATGAACCGTAATTACTGTTGGAACCCTGAGTTGGGTGCTTTACACACCAGTAACCTCAAAACTGGAGGTGGGCTGGCCATCGTGGCTCAGGCCTGTAATTCCAGCACTTTGGGAGGCTGAGGCATAATGATCTCTTGCGCCCAGCCTGGGCAACATGGCGAAACCTCGTCTCAACACAAAACACAAAAATTGGCCAGGCACCGTGGCTCACACCTGTAAGCCCAGCACTTTGGGAGGTTAAGGCAGGCAGATCACAAGGTCAGGAAATTGAGACCATCCTGGCTAACACAGTGAAACCCCGTCTCTACTAAAAATACAAAAAATTAGCTGGGCATGGTGGTACGTGCCTGTGGTTCCAGCTACTCAGGAGGCTGAGGCAGGAGAATCACTTGAACCAGGAGGCAGAGGTTGCAGTGAGCTGAGATGGCGCCACTGCACTCCAGCTTGGGTGACAGAGAGAGAGAACGTATCAAAAAAAAAAAAAAAAAAATTGTGCTCACTTCGGCAGAACATATACTAAAATTGGAACGATACAGAGAAGATTAGCATGGCCCCTGCACAAGGATGACACATGAATTCGTGAAGCGTTCCATTTTATTAAAAAAAAAAATTAGCTGGGCATGGTGGTGCATGCCTGCAGTCCCAGCTGCCAGGGAGGCAGGAGGATCTCTTGAGACCAGGAGGTGGAGACTGCAGTGAGCCCAGATCATGCCATTACACTCCAGCCGGGGTAACAGTGAGACACTCTCTCAAAAAAAGAAACATGAAGGCCAGGCGTGGTGGCTCACACCTGTAATCCCAGCACTTTGGGAGGCTAAAGCAGATAGATTATTTGAGGTCAGGATTTTGAGACTAGCCTGGCCAACATGGCAAAAACACATCTCTACTAAAAAATACAAAAATTAGCCAGGCATAGTGGCATGCCTGTAATTCCAGCTACTTGGGAGGCTGAGGCAGGAGAATCACTTGAACCCGGGAGGTGGAGGTTGCAGTGAGCCGAGATCGCACCATTGCACTCCAGCCTAGGCGAAAGAGCAAGACTTTGTCTCATAACAAACAAACAAACTGGAGGTGGGTGGCCTCCTGGTGAGGCAGGCCTGGGCTCTACACACCCAGCATAGGATCTCAAGCCTGTAGCTTGGGGAGGGTGGGAGGAGCCCACAGCTCAGGGGCACTGGGGCAAGCAGGAAGAGTCAGAGAGGAAGGGGTGACACCTCCCTACACTTGGGAGGGGCCCCCAGCGGTTGCCAAAGCTGTGTGAGGAGGAGGAAGTGAGAGGAGGAGGTGAGGTGCTGCCGGAGGTGAGCTGGGCTGGTGGGGACAGGGGCTGGGCCTGGGGCTGGGTCTCCAGACAGAGACCCAGTCAGTGTGGGGCCTAGCCCCCGCCCCCATAAAAGAGGAGACGTAGGGGGCTTGGTGAGATACCCTGAAACCTCTCAGCTCTGACCCTGCAGCCAGGCCCCAGCCTGGCCAGAGTGGTCCCTCACACTGGTTCTCCCCACATTCTCTGCCTGTGGCATTGAAGGCTGAGGGCACCATGGCCCAGGCCCTGGGGGAGGATCTGGTCCAGTCGCCCGGGCTGCAGGATGACTCCAGCTCTTTGGGGTCGGACTCAGAACTCAGCGGGCCTGGCCCATATCGCCAGGCCGACCGCTATGGATTCATTGGGGGCAGCTCAGCAGAGCCAGGGTAAGGGGGCAGGGTGAGGGATGGTGGGATACTGGGACAGAGGATGCCGGGGGAGGGCTGAATTCTGTAGTGAGGCCTAACTCAGGGAGGTTGGGAGGGTCTGGTGGTAGGGACTGGGAGGGGGACTCAGCCAGTATCACCCCTCTGCAGGCTCCAGGTGGAACCTAAGGTCGGAAGGGTAGGGGGAGGCCTCTGTACATCTCTTACCCCCAACCCCTGAGGGTTTCACTCACTGCTGGGGCAGAATATCCTTCCCCTTCAAACCTCTGGCCCAGGAATCCCAGATCCAAGTCCCAGAACCCACACCTCCTCCTTCCCCCTTTCCCCAAGCTGCAGACAGAAACACAAGTTCACATCTATACAGAAACTTGTGTCACACAGGGGATCAGAGACAGACCCAGACTCAAACTCAGGACTCCGGGCTTCCAATCCAGGGCTCTCGGCAGCCAGCTTCCTCTATGAATTGTCTGTGTCCCTGTCCTGCGTGACAGCCAGCCTGCTCCTCCCCCAACATACACCCACTCACCTCTTCAGTCTCCTGCTTCTGCCCACATTGGATCCACATCCTTTCCTGTCCCCCTGACAAGCATTAGCAGCTCCTGGGTCACAGGTCATCCCACAGGGCTCCCAGAGATCCCTGGGGCCAGGAGCTGGGCTCAACTGGGTGGCAGCGTGGGCCCTGGGTAACAGCTGCCGAGCTCCTGGATACCTGTGCCACGCACCCCCAGGCCGGACCACCCCCCTGCAGACCTCATCCGCCAACGGGAGATGAAGTGGGTGGAGATGACCTCTCACTGGGAGAAAACCATGTCCCGGAGGTACAAGAAGGTGAGAGGACAGGGGCCCCACACTGGTCTCCATGGCTCATTCCTCTCTGCCTTGGCCCACATCTTGGCAAAATGTACCCACCCTGGGTCCCAGCACCTCCTGCCTTTGCTCCCTGCCACCCAGAGTGGGCCCCTGCCTGCTGATGAGCTGTGCCTGGGGCCTGCCAGCGGGAGCTAGGGAGGTTGCCTAGCGGAGCCCTCGGCCTCGCCCACAGGTAAAGATGCAGTGCCGGAAAGGTATCCCATCTGCTCTGCGTGCCCGGTGCTGGCCCCTGTTGTGCGGGGCCCATGTATGCCAAAAGAACAACCCTGGCACCTATCAGGTGAGGGAGTGGGCAGGGGCTCCAGCTCCCTTACCCAGAGCACGCACCACACCGAACCCTCACACCCACCTTCCCGGCTACCCACAGGAGCTGGCAGAGGCCCCTGGAGACCCACAGTGGATGGAGACAATTGGCAGGGACCTGCACCGCCAGTTCCCCCTGCACGAGATGTTTGTGTCACCCCAGGGCCACGGGTACGAGGCAGGTGATGCCCAGGGACCCTCAGCCCCACGAGCCCCAAGTGCTCTGGCCCACTTTCCCCAGCCCAGCTTTACAGTTTTGCATCTCAGGGGACCCAGCAAGGCCCAGGGAGGCTGAGGCCTGGGCAGAGGCCACCAGAGGGCGGAGAAGGGGTGCCTGCAGGACCGGCCCCTTATGGGGTCTTCTGGCACAGGCAGCAAGGGCTCCTGCACGTGCTCAAGGCCTATACCCTGTATCGACCGGAGCAGGGCTACTGCCAGGCCCAGGGGCCTGTGGCTGCTGTGCTGCTCATGCACCTGCCCCCAGAGGTGAGTGACCTTGACCTTGCTCTGGGAACCCTAGTGACCTAGGCCCAGGGAACCCCAACCCCAGGAACTGTGGCCTCAGAAACCTGGGATCCTTGATCCCTAGACCCTGTCCTAGTGACCAGGGCCTCATGACTGCCAACCACAGTGACCTTCCAGCCTAATGACCTTGACTCTAGGAACCTTGACCTCAGCCTTGACCCTAGTCACCTGGGAGTCTGGATGTCATCACTTTGACCCCACAACTCCTGATTCTGAACTTAGGGAGTGTGACCCCAACCCCAATGACCCCAGAAACCCATGACTTGAACTTTGGGATACTCCAAAACCTTGGCCAGTGAACCCCAACTCTCATCCTCAAATCTGTGACTCCAACACCCTAAACCCATTGGCAGGCCCTGTCCTGGGCAGAGGAGGGGGCTTTTGGCAAGGGCTTCCCAGGAGCTGAGCAGGTTGAATGGCCCTGATCCCACTGTGGTGCCCAGGCCCTCCCCTTCAGTCCTTCCTCCATCCTGCCTTCCTCTCGCGGTGGCTTCCTTGGTGGGCACTCATAGACCTGTGCCCTGCCCCTTCCCCAGGAGGCCTTCTGGTGCCTGGTGCAAATCTGTGAGGTCTACCTCCCTGGCTACTACGGGCCCCACATGGTGAGAGGCTGGCATGGGGGCTGGAGGAAGGAGGGGCAGGGCCCTGGTGAGTGGGTGGGGTTGGGGGACTGAGGGAGGCAGAGCCTGGGCTCTGGGAGTGACAGTGCTGGCCAGCTGATGGACATGCCACAGGAGGCCGTGCGGCTGGACGCCGAGGTGTTCATGGCTCTGCTGCGGCGGCTGCTCCCGCACGTGCACAAGCACCTGCAGCAGGTGGGCGTCGGACCCCTGCTCTACCTGCCGGAGTGGTTCCTGTGCCTCTTCTCCCGCTCCCTGCCCTTCCCCACAGTGCTGCGTGTCTGGGATGCCTTCCTCAGTGAGGGTGAGTGGGGCAGTAAGGGGCTGGGGCAGGAGCCTTGGGGTGTGGGTGGGAGGTAGCTCACCAGCCCCAGGGTTCCCTTTTGGGGCCTTGAATCATGGATTGGGTGTACTGAAGTTGTTGACCTGGTGCCTGGCGATACATCACCCATCACCCATCACCCAGGCACCACCTGGTGCTGAGCTGGCCAGGGAGGCTTCCAGGGAGGCAGATGAAGCAGGAAGTGGGCGATCACAGCCCGTGGAGGCCTCTGCCGCTCAGGGATAGGCACCTCCTGGGTGCTTACTGGCTCCAGACGTGGATCTGCAGCTGGGAATCAAGTGATTGAGACCTTCATGCTGGCGGGGGTGGGGGTGGGTGGCGACAGTAACCAAATTCACAAGATATTTATAGATTGTCAGAAGTGCCATGAAGAAAATAAAACGAGGGATATGACAGGGAGTGTCAGGGGAGTGCAGGGTGACGGCTGCATTTCAGCTGCTGCTGGCTGCTCTGTGCAGGGGGAGGACTCACAGGGGTCTCTGTAGAGGCCTGGGGCCAGGAAAGCCACTGTCCCCAGGGGCCAGGCTACAGTCAATGCAGGAGAGAGGGCTTGGAGCTGTGAAGCCAGAGAGGGGGATGCTGGAGGCCAGGCCAAGAGCGGGTGGGGAGTCAGGGCAGAGCCAAGCTGGACTACCTGTGTCTTTCAGACTCCGCCTCAATACCTCCATCAGCAACCCACCTGCATTCTGTTCTTTTTTTTTTTTTTTTTGAGATGGAGTCTTGCTCTGTCACCAGGCTGGAGTGCAGTGGTGCGATCTCTGTTCACTGCATCCTCCACCTCCTGGGTTCAAGAGATTCTCCTGCCTCAGCCTCCTGAGTAGCTGGGACTACAAGTGCATGCCACCATGCTCAGCTAATTTTTGTATTTTTAGTAGAGATGGGGTTTCACCATGTTGGCCAAGATAGTCTCGATCTCTTGGCCTCATGAACTACCTGCCTCAGTCTCCCAAAGTGCTGGGATTACAGGCGTTAAGTCACCGTGCCCGGCCCCTGCATTCTGCTCTATATGTGAGGTCTGGAGGTTGCACCTTAAAAAAACGTGGCAGAAATCAGTCAGCATGCATACTAAGTGTCATTCGGGTGCTCAGCTGGCTTCCTGCCCTCCACCCAGTGGGAGGACCATTGCCGAGTTCTGGCAACAGACGTCCAAGTCGCTATCCTTGTGGTCACTCCTGGAACAGGGCTGGGCAGAGCTGGGCAGGGCATGACCCGTCCACCTACAGGAAAACCCTGCACAGGATCCCTTATCAGAAGGACAATAGCATGAGTAGTGATTGTTCCTCGACGGTCACGGTCCTCACTCAGCCTGGCTGGTGCCCTGGTGGCTCTTCTCAGATCAGAGGCTGCCAGGAAGGGATTTTGAGGCTTCAGGACTAGCCCAAGGTCACATGTGTGGGGAGCGCTATGCTCCTGGCTTAGGGGAGAGCAGTTCTGCCTAGGTCTTTCTAGAATCAGAGGGTCACAGATCCAAGCTGGAAAGGTCTTAAAGGGCATCACCTCACCTTTCCCTGTTCCTTGTGGAGATGAGCAAGCTGGGGCCCAGGGAGGGCTTGGTGTGAACTCACCAGTAGCCCCCGGCTCCTGGAAGGAAGCTGGTGGCTTGGTGGGGGCGGGAGCATTGAGGTGTGGGTGGGGAACTAGCTCACCAGCTCTGGGGTTCCCTTTTGGTGTGCTGAAGATGATGGCCCTGTGCCTGGTGGCACATCACCTGTCACCTGGATGCTGCCTGGGGCAGGAGCTGGGTGATCACAGCACATGGAAGCTTGATGGGCTGAGGGAGGGGAGAAGGTGCTTCTCCCTGGAGCTCACAGGCACCTGCCAGGCGCTCACTGGCTCTAGACGTGGATCTGGCATCTGAGAATCAAGTGATCAAGACCTTCATTCTGGTGGCGGCGGGGATGGGAGGTGGCAGTAACCAAATTTGAAAGATATTAACTCTGCCCCAAAGCATCTGTGGCTCTTGAGGCTAACTTGGCCAGTGCAGTGGCCTGTGTCACCTGAAATGTAACCCCACCTTCTGTTATTGCTCCTGAACCGGGGAGGGCAGAGCTGCAGGAAAGTGGCAGATGTACGGCTGAGAGCAGGTTTGGGTGCAGAACTGTGGAGTGAGCCAGCCCCTGGCCCACAGGTGCCAAAGTGCTGTTCCGTGTGGGGCTGACGCTGGTGCGCCTGGCGCTGGGCACTGCAGAGCAGCGCAGAGCCTGCCCTGGCCTCCTGGAGACACTGGGAGCCCTTCGAGCCATCTCCCCAACGCAGCTGCAGGAGGAGGTCTTCATGTCTCAGGTGGGTGCCCCCGCCTCTCCGAGAACTGGCCCAGTCCCTGCTGCACGGGGGAAACTGAGTCCCAGGGCAGGAAGCCAAAGTGAGAATGGGGGCTTAGTTCCTGTCCCCTGAGCAGCTGAGAACATGAAAACCCCAGGCCTTCAGAGGCTGTCTATGGCTCCCCAGTGAGGCTGCCTGTTAGCCCCTCAGTCCTCAGCCACTTCCGGGACTGGGAACCTCACAGTTTCCTGTTTCTGCCCTGAGGCCGACCAAACTCAGCACCAATAATTCCCCACAGGTTCACGGCGTGGTGCTGTCGGAGCGGGACCTGCAGCGGGAAATCAAGGCCCAGCTGGCCCAGCTGGCCCAGCTGCCCGATTCTGCACCGGGGCCCCCACCCCGGCCACAGGCCCGCCTCCCCGGGGCCCAAGCCATCTTCGAGGCCCAGCAGCTGGCAGGGGCGCAACCAGGTGCCAAGCCTGAGGTGCCTCGGATCGTGGTGCAGCCCCCAGAGGAGCCCAGACCACCACGGCGGAAACCCCAGACCCGAGGCAAGACTTTCCATGGGCTCCTGACTCGGGCCCGAGGCCCCCCCCTCGAGGGACCCCCCAGGCCCCAACGAAGCTCCACCTCCTTCCTGGACACCCGCTTCTGAGAGGACCATGGACTCAGTGTCCCCCAGGCTCCATCACCTGATGGCTGATGCCCAGCCCTGCACTTTACTCTTGGGACCTGGGGGCTCAGCTTCCTTCCTGGCAAGGACTAGGCGGAGGAGGAGGAGGTCCTCTGTGGTACATACTGGGTGAGGCACTAGCATGGGGGGGGTCCCAGAGTGGGGCACGTGAGGACCCATGGAGCCATCCTGGTGCCAGGCCCTCACGAGTACCAAAGCCAGCACTGAACAAGTCGGGGAAGGGGTCGGCTGGGCCGAGGGACCCCAGAGAGCTCCAGGAATAAAATCTTGAACAGATGCCTCAGATGGTGCTGGATAAAATGCCCTCCTCCCACCTCCAACAGGCAGCCCCTTCCCCTCCTCTCTCACCTGCCCCCTCCCAGCTTCGCACTCTCCTGGTCCTGCCATGGTCCCACCCTGGGGACATACCGAGGCTGCCCACTGGCTGCTGGGGAAGGTGTTTAGGTGTTTACAGTAGTAGTAAGAGCCAATTGAAAGTGTCCCTCCCCCAGCCTCTGGGGACAGGGATGGCTTTTGCACCTGTAGAAGGGGGGCGCCCCAAGGATGGTGAGCCCAGGGGCTCTACCCGTCTTTTGCCCTCCTTTCCCTCCCTCCAGGGTGGTTCCGGACTCTCTGGGATGGGGACTCTAACCCAAGTCCTCCCCGCACCCATGGTCCTGGTCACATCTGTCAAAGGGACCCAGGCAGAACAAAGGCCCAGTGTGCCTGGGACAAAGGAGAAAGGTCCCGCCGGCCCTCACCCCTCCCAGAGCCCCGCGTCTGCCCCCTCAGGACCGCCACCATGGAAACCCCATCCTACACTCACTAATTGCCCCCGTGGGTGCCCAGGACCTGAGCCATTGCCGGGGCAATGGGGCCGGTTCCCAAGTGCCCTCCCCTCTCTGGGGAACACAGCAGGACTCTAATGGACAGGAGGCATCTGCAGGCCCAGGCTCCGGGGCTGTCCATCGGGTGGGTGTCAGTGGAGTCACCTGTCAGACTCTGGGTTTGGAATGTTCTTTCGACAGGGCCACAGGCTGTGTCTGTGTGGTAAGTGCCAGGCCCTGGGTTCCTGGAAGAGGGAATCATGGTGGCCTAGACCCTTATCTGTCATTTCTCTGGGGGAAACAGGCTGAGGAGGAGCAGGAACTTGCAGACAGCCTTACTGTTCATAGCAGTCCCAAGGTTTACCCCTGCCCCGACCACTGGCAGCTCCCCCCTGGGCAGCCCCCTGGGGAGGGGTGCATTCTCCTGCCCCTTCTCCCCCATCCCCAATGCTGCACCAGCCTTCCAGTGTGTAGACGAGGCAGCAGCAGGACTCCTGAGTTAGCACTCCAGAGCCTCCCTCCGCCCACTCCTCCTCACCCCATTGGGGTGCGTACAACTTATTAATAACCCCCTTACCTATAATTTACAAAACCCTTTCCAAGAACCACCCCGCACACCAGGCCCTCTCTCTGCACGTAGCCCCTGATATCCCTGTTAGAGACACACAGGATCAGTGAGGCCAGGGACCTCACCCAGCCCCACAGTGAAAGGCAAAGCTGGCCGGAGTGCTCTGTGTAGACAGGGAGTCTCTTGGTGGAATCTCAGGCTCTGTAGCAGGCAGGGTGGCCAGGGTGGGGGCACTTGTCCCTGAAGTCCACTTGGGAGCTCCCCACCCTCCACAGGTTCAGCTCTTCTCCTGGGAGAACAGGGGAGCAAGGTGCAGCAGCCTCAGCCCTGGGTCAAGGGTCTGTCATGAACCTGCGGGGGCATGGTGGCAGTGGCTCACTCTGGACACTGACCCTAGGAGCAGGTGGTCTCCAGCAGGGTCCCTCTAGCTGGGGCTCAGCCACTGCCTTTCCTACTCAGGAGACTGTTTTCTGGCAGCCCAGCTGTAGGTTTCGTTATCAGTCCTCTGCACAAGAGCCCTGACTCACAGGTCGGACAGAACCAGTGCCCTCCTGGTGTGAACCCTCAAAAGAATGCATTCCCACAGGCCCTCCTCCGCAGGGCTGCACCGGCCCCCACAGCACCTTTTTGCTAGCTGGGGAAATATGTCTCTCCTCCAGGCAACATGCCTCATCACAGTGCACGGTGTAACAGAGTGGGGAGGGATCTCTCACCCAGGTGCCTTTGTGCAGTGAGCAACCTACGCAACCGTACTCAGAGACCCTAGAAACGCCCTAGAGACCTGCCTGGAAAGGGGCTCAGAGAAGGGAAGCGATGCATCTGAGAGCACTCAGCGTGTGGGGACTGATGCTGGGAGGGCCCCTGGGATGTCTGTCAGCCTCAGAGTGGGGCATGCATCGTGGACATGAGTGGGGGCATGCAAAGGAATGAGGGGGGCAAATGGGTGCCCGCCATGGATGGGGGGACCCACGGTCTCCGTCTTGCTCTGCCACCCACTCGAGGTTCCCTGAATTCCCACAGCGTTCCAGGCTCCCAGAGGTATCAGACTTGGAATCCCCTACATGGGAAAAGCCCTTTCTCCTTCTCTGAGCCTCAGTTTCTCCTGTGGATAACGGGATAATAATGCCCCCACCCCAGCTTCAAGACCGCTCTACCAGCACATGATGATGGTGATGATAGTGACGACTGTTAGTCCAGGTGGGCAGCAGCCGAAGCACTGCCCCTCCTCACCCCACCCCTACCTGGCTCAGCTCTGCCTCGGGGTGATGTCCAGGCTTTCCTGGCAAGGGTAGAGCTGAACCACCCTGCCCACCTGCCTGCCCCAAGTCCCAGGGTCCTGAGCTGGGGCTGCAGCTGCCCAATTCTGATTTTCCTCCTTCTATCCTCCCTGTATCCAGTGCAGTGGGGACCAGCCAGGGTGGCCTGAAAGTGGGCACAGAACCACACAGCTCTCTGTGCATGCACGCACGCATTCTGGCAGAAGATCCCAGCTCTGCCAATCACCAGCTGTGTGACCTTGGGCAAGTCACACCACCTCTCTGAGTCTCATAATTGCTCCCTTGCCTGTGCAGTGTTAGGTCTGGGCTCAGTGTGCACTGTATCCCCACTTGAAGAGAGAAAACTGAGTCCCCAGGGCTGCAGAGCTTGTTGGTTTGTTTGTTTTGAGATGGAATCTCGCTCTGTTCCCTAGGCTGGAGTGCAGTGGCGCGATCTCAACTCATTGCAGCCTCCGCCTCGTGGGTTCATATGATTCTCCTGCCTCAGGCTCCCGAGTAGCTGGGATTATAGGTGCCTGCCACCACATCTGGCTAATTTTTGTATTTTTGGTAGAGACGGGATTTCACCACGTTGGCCAGGCTGGTCTCGAACTCCTGACTTCAGGTGATCCGCCAGTCTTGGCCTCCCAAAATGCTGGGATTACAGGCATGAGCCACTGCACCTGGCCTCATTTTTTGTATTTTTAGTAGAGACAGGGTTTCACCAAGTTAGTCAGGCTGGTCTCAAACTCCTGACCTCAGGTGATCTGCCTGCCTCGGCCTCCCAAAGTACTGGGATTACAGGTGTGAGCCACCGCACCTGGCCTGTAGAGCTTGTTAAATGTCAAAACTCATGCTCTTTGGATGACACCCAGGCCCCACAGTAGGATCCCATGGGAGCTCAGACCACCCATGCAGCAAGGGATTGGGTCTCCTGGGGTGGCTGCACCTCATTCCTGGAGCCTGGGCCGGGTGCAGGGAGGGCTGCAGGTGGACCTGGAAGCTATGTGGGGAATGTGGGCTGGGTGGGGCACTCTGGAGAAGACATTTCACCTCCCTGCCGACCCTTCCAGTGGTAGACAGGATGGCTGCACAGACTGCCCTGTATATAGTTGCAGAAAGCATCCAACAGCTGCCATCTCTGTCCCCACAGTGTGTGGGCCCCTCAGTACTCTCCCCCAGGCCAAGGGGCTCCCAAGGACAGCTGGGGCTCAATGTGTGTCGAGCTCTGAGCCAGGCAGGGAGAGGGGCTGAGCGGGTGTGCTGGGGGTAAATCGTGGCTGTGATCCAGGTCTCTTGGTGTACCCTTCTGTGGCTATTTGGGTGGGTGGGCTTGGGTGTGAGTATGTGTATCTTGGAGAGACTGTAGCTTCAACTGAGGATGTGGTGTTGATGAGTAGAGCAGATTTTTTTTTTAAAGAGATAGTGGGGGTGGGCACAGTGGCTCACACCTGTAATCCCAGTACTTTGGGGGGCCAAGGAGGGCAGATCACAAGGTCAAGAGCTTGACCATGCTGGCCAACATGGTGAAACCCTATCTCTACTAAAAATACAAAAATTAGCTGGGCGTGGTGGTGCACACTTTTAGTCCCAGCTACTTGGGAGGCTGAGGCAGGAGAATTGCTGGAACCCAGGAGGCAGAGGTTGTGGTGATCAGCGATCACGCTATTGCACTCCAGCCTGGGAAACAGACCAAGACTCTATCTCGAAAAAAAAAAAAAAAAGACGGCTGGGCGTCGTGGCTCATGCCTGTAATCTCAGCACTTTGGGAGGCCAAGGTGGGTGGATCACCTGAGGTCAGGAGTTCGAGACCAGACTGACCAATATGGTGAAACCCTGCCTTAAAAAAAAAAATAAAAGACAAGACAAGACATAGAGTCTGGCCGGGCATGGAGGCTCACACCTGTAATCCCAACACTTCAGGAGGCGAAGGCAGGTGGATCACGAGGTCAGGAGTTCAAGATCAGCCTGGCCAACATGGCAAAACCCTTTTTCTACTAAAAATACAAAAATTAGCTGGGCATGGTGGCGCACGCCTGTAATCCCAGCTACTCAGGAGGCTGAGGCAGGAGAATCACTCGAGCCTGGGAGGTGGAGATTGCAGTGGGCCGAGGTGGTGCCACTGCACCCCAGCCTGAGGAAAAGAAGAAGAAGAGAGAGATAGGGTCTCAGAGTCCCACTGTATTGCCCAGGCTAGAGTGTAGTGGCACAACCAGGACTAACTGCAGCCTCCATCCCGGGGCTCAGGTGATCTTCCCACCTCAGCCTCCCAAGTAGTTGGGATGACAGGCCCATACCACCTCAACCAACCGATTTTAAAACAGTTTTTGTACAAACAGGGACTTGCTATGTTGCCCAAGCTGGTCACAAACTCCTGGGTTCAAGCAATCCTCCTGCCTCAGCCTCCCAAAGTGCTGGGATTCCAGGCAGCCACCGCACCAGGAGAGGCTGGATCTTATGAACATCCCGCCCCTGTGTGCAAGTCCACTGAGGCCAGGAGAAGTGAGGAGGGGGCTGCACAGATGTGCGGAGACCCTGGCCCAGGAGGGCCTCTGGGAGAATGTGCAGTAGGGTGGAGCACTGGGGGCTGGGATCTCCAGATTCCATCCAAAGGTAGGGCTCAGGGCTGTGCCCCAGGCTGCTCTCCCGGGCACCCCACCCCTAAGGGCGAGCCCTAGTACCAGTCTCTGCCTGCTCCGGCTCTCCCTGCCCCTCCTCTCCATCTCTTCTCCATGGTGAGCCTCCCTCTTTCTTCACGGCAGCCCTAAGTCTGTGACCCTCGGCAACTGTCCCTGTCCATCTGCACCTGGCCCTCTGTCGGGACTTCCTCTGTGTCTCTGAAGATCACCGTCTCTTCCTGCCTGCTCCATGCCCTCCTCCTGCCAGGCCCAAGTCCGCTCCACACCCCCAAGTCTGGGACGTTTTGGGGGCGGGTGTGTCCCGGGCGGGTCCCTGTCTGTCCGTCAGCCCCACGTCGCCCCGCCAGGCACTGGGCATGCCCCAGGCGCTTCTATATAAGGCAGCACTGCCTGGGCTTGGGGCTGTGCCACTGCCACCGCCACCGCCACTGCCGCCGCTGCGTCCCGCCCTGTCCGAGTCTGCCCGCCACACTTGCCGAGCCGCTGCCGCCCACCAGGTACCCCGGCTCCAGCCTGCCCCAGGGAGAGTCAGGGAGGGGGGCGGCCAGGGCAGGAGTTGCCGGGACGAGGACCCCCGGGCGCCCGAGTCCCGCAGCGGGACACTTGACACTACGTTCCCTATCCCCGGGACACGGCTCGCCCCCCCCCCCAGACACCCGGAAGTCCCCCCACCTCCCCCACTCCCTGTGCTGGAGGGGCCGAGCAGAGCCAGGACCCTACGGCAGTGAGGACCTGTGAGAACTGGGGCAGGAGCCACTCGGTCTGGGCAGCAGAAATCACTCCTCTGCTGTGGGGTGTAGTGGGCCCTTGGCCCCTATCTGCAGGGACAGGACAGAGGAGCAGTGGCGGCCACCTCTGCACTCCCAAAGTCTAGGGGCTGGAAGGCCAGGCAGGGACCTGGCTGCCCTGACTCCTTTGTCTCTCTGTCCCTCTGTCTCTGCCATCAGTCCCTCAGCCACTCCACCAACGAGATGGTGAGTCTCCTGTTGTCCCTCCCCCAAAAAGGCCCAAGTCCCTGGGCAGAGAGTGGGCCCAGAGGACAGCAGGCAGCACTCAGGACCTAAGCTCGGGGGCTGCCCTGTGCAGACAGCTTAGACTCATGGCCGGCCCCCCCCACACAACCCCACCTGGTGCATCCTGGGAGGTGGGCACTCTTAGTGCCCTGTGACATTCATTCACTCTGTGGCCCCTCAGGGAGCTCACCTTCTAGGAGAGGGCATGGCGACTCTGGCCCTGGCAAACTGGGATTGGAGCCCAGGTATGAGGCCCAGTCCTCTGCCGCCTAGGCAACAGCCCAACGTCTCCCAGCAACCAAGATTCTTGGCCCCAGCCTCATCAGCCCCCAGGGGATGGCACAGGGCCGGCACCAGGCAACAAGGCCCAGAGAGACCTCACAACTTCTCAAGGTGGCTGAGCCTGTCCCCTGGAGGTCACACCCGGCTGCCAGGCCTGGGGACTGCAAAGAACAAGAATTCCATTCACACTGAGCCTCTCAGCAGTCCCATAAGGGGGTGGGGCGCCAGCCTCAGAGAGGGGAGCGAGGGGAAGGGCATTAGGTTGCTGGGTCATGAGAGACAGATGAGCCACCCCAGAGTGATTGCTGGGTTCATTGGTTCATCTCATCTCCAGTCAACAAACACTTACTGAGCAGTGACTGTGCCAGACACCGTTTAGGTTCTAGGGTTGTCTCCACGAACAAAACAAGCAAAAAACTCTGCTGCTGTGAACCAAGCTAAGGTGGACCCCAGTGTGGGGTGGGGCTGGCCAGCAGGACACTGCTTCCTGCCACCCCCCCGGGGCACCACACAGAACAGTTTCCAAAGCACTCCCACCTACGAGTTCCCATTGACAAGCCTTCACCCCCAATACAAGTCTTTCCTCCCCTAGTCCCTGGGACAGTGACAGCCCTGAACATAGGCCAGGCTGGGAGAGTGGGAGGCTTACACCCTTGGGTGACTTAATGTGTCCGAGGGCCTACTCTGCCCAAGACCCACCATTTCTGCCGTCTCAGCTCTCCCTGGATCCATCAGGTCCTGAGTGGGATTGCCCACTGGGCTCCAAGGACCTGGAGGAAGAGGGCCCCTGGGGAGGGGACTCTGGCCTGCCACCCACAGGCTGCTTCCCTGGCTCCTGGCGCCAGGACGTGGGCCTGGACTACAAGGGCTCCCCCGAGGGGGCCGAGGCCCGGGCCTGGACTGTCTACTACTACAGCCTCCTGCAGAGCTGTCTGCAGCAAGCTGGCCTTCCGGAGACCCAGGACCGCAGCCAGGTGCCCTGCACAGGTGCCCAAGGGCTCCCCGGAGGGGGGCACCCCTGGGGGCAGGGAGGGGCCCTCAGCCTAGTCTGCCTCCTCATCCCTGCCCAGGTTGGTCCCTTCTCCAGGCTCCGGTTTGGTCTGAAGGCAGGGAGGGCACAGCCAGTTGGCCCAGGGTAGGCAGGCATTATTTCCAAGGGCATCTGGCACCAGTGAAGTCAAGGATTGGGCTCTCTGCCCTCACCCCCTCCCCACAAAGATCCAGCCCTGGGATTGGCAAACCATGTCGTATGGCCCTGAAGCTTCTAGAGAAGGCCTTGGGAGCTGTGGCGGAAGCAGCTCAGCAGCTGAGAACCCCCCCAGACTCCTCCCCTTCTGCACCTCCAAGCCTGTTGTATATGTCAGATTTTGTGTGGACAGAGAGTTCACAGATAGAATACCTGAGAATCACAGACTTGGGAAACTGAGGCAGACTGGGAGGAACACTGACTCCTCCAAGGTCACAGAGAAAGTCAGAGCTCGGGCTAGAACCCGGTTCTCCAGTCACCCAGCCTGCATCATCTCTGGAACAGCTGCAGAAAGAGGGGAGCCAGCCTCACAGGGCGGGTCGGGTGGGCACCTCCCTTCCCCAGCCCACTCCCTGTCTGTCCTGTCTCTAGTCTGATTTCTGGGAAAATCTGGGGCCCCAGGGTGAGGCCATGGGTGTGGAGGTAGTGGAAGGTGGGCAGAGAGACGGCCAGGGAGCCCCTGGTGAGCTAGGCCATGTTCTCTTTCCCGAGGCTGCCCTGGGGCGGAGGTGACCTTGTGCGTTCTGGGCTCCCCCAGCACCTTTCTGCCTGTGCTGCTGGAAGGTGGGGTCCAGAGCCCGGGTGAGTGTGTGCTCAAGTTTCCCCCCCACTTCTACAGAAAGGGCAGCCCTGCGCTGGCCCAGCCACATCCCAAAATACCCACCAACCCTGGCAGCTGCCTGCATTCCACTGGAGCAGCTGCCACGCTGAGTGGGGTGGGTTCTGTGATCAGCTGCCCTCACTCTGCTACCCAGGGTCCCCGGCTGCAGGGGGAGGGCACAGGGCATCAGGCCTTCCCTGGCCAGCCACTTGCCTTCTCTGCCCACAGGAAACATGCTCCTTTGCCTGTCTCCTGCTTGGCTGATGAAGGTACCGGCACCCGGGCAGCCGGGAGAGGCAGCCCTGCTGGTCTCCAAGGCTGTGAGCTTCCACCCGGGGGGCCTGACATTCCTGGATGACTTTGTCCCCCCGCGCCGTGCCACCTACTTTCTGGCTGGCCTGGGGCTGGGGCCTGGCCGGGGCCGAGAGGCAGCAGAACTCGCCCGTGACCTGACCTGCCCCACAGGAGCTTCAGCTGAGCTGGCCCGGCTGCTGGAGGACCGGCTGCTGACAAGGCAGTTGCTGGCCCAGCAGGGCTGTGTAGCTGTGCCAGCGACCCTGGCTTTCACCTACAAGCCGTTGGGGCTGCTTCTGGGAGGGGATGCCAGCCCAGGACTACGGCTGGTGGAGCTGAGTGGCAAGGAGGGCCAAGAGATGCTGGTGAAAGAGGAAGTGGAGACTTTTCTGCACTCCGAGGCCCTGGGTGATGTGCTGCAGGTAACAGGCTCCTGCCCACCTTGAGGTCTGCACAGATGCCAGCAGGATGGGATCTAGGCACAGTTACCCAGTCTGGCTGGGAAGGTGTCCCTACCTTGTAGCCCTGCCGCTGCCCCATCTCTAGGGCAACCCCCGCCCTTGTGCCTCAGTTTACTCATTGGCTCCTGTGGTAGGAGCATCCCGCCCTGAAGTACCTGGGGTGGTGTCCAGGAGGCCCTTTCCCCTCCTTGCTGCAGGTGGCTGTGAAGCTCAGTGGCTGGCGCTGGCGGGGGCGGCAGGCATTTCGTCTGTACTCTAGGGCAGAGCTGGGTACAGTGGTGGACACGGTGCTGGCACTGCTGGAGAAGCTGGAGGAGGAGGAGAGTGTCTTAGTGGAGGCTGTGTACCCACCTGTCCGGCTGCCCTGCTCAGGTGAGAGCCACCTGGGCTGGCCAGGGGTGGGAGCTTGGTGTGGCCTTCTGGCCACTCTGTGCTGGCCTTAGACCTTCTTGTCTTCCCCCAGATGGTCCTGCACTCGGCCCTGGGCTGGCCGTGCGAATCTGTGCTGTGGTCTGTCGGACACAGGGTGACAGGCCACTGCTGAGCAAGGTGAGCATGCCCCAGCCCAGGTTGTGACCTGCCTGCCACACCCCAGCCCAGTCCCAGTGGTCTGCCAAGGGTCCCTGAGGCGTCTCTGGGAAGAGAGGACAAAATCCTGAGGGGAATCCAGGAACCATAATTGCCTCTGGGGGAACTACTGGGTCTGACTGGTCTTCCCTCTCCCGCAACCTTTCCAGAACCGCCCCCACACCAAGAGCCTCTGTGCTCAGGCCCATGCTGAGCACCAGGGCACAGGAGACTGAATCATCTTCCCAGAGAGCGCTTGCCCACATAGAGGCTGACCCAGGGCTTCCAGATAAATCTCTAGTGCTTGGAGGGGCCTCTAAGTTGCGGGGTTTAGGAAGGCTTAGGGACCCTTCTGGGAACCCAGCTCTGGACTACACTGAGAGGGAGAGATTCAAGCCTGCCCTCAAGGAGCTCCAGTGGGGTAGGGGAGAAGTGTGCTCCAGGGAGATGGTAGGGCAGGGCACACCAGGGTGGCCCAGGCCCCCAGGGCTGCAGGAGCCTTCCTGGAGCAGTAACCGAGCTGGGCCTGGAAGCCTGGGTAGAATCCCTGGAAGGGTCTGGGGACCAGATGGGTAGTGGCAGGGAGCTGCCCTCTGCCCATCTCCAGACAGGCCATCCCCAGATGGGCAGTGGCACGAGCTACGTGTGCAATTTAAGACACGCTGGAGGACGGGGCTTCTTGAATGTTCAGTGAGGGGTCTGGTCTGAATCTTGGCACAAGCGGGTGCGGGTGTGTGTCGGGGGCAGGAGTGTGCGGGCCTCCCCACGAGCAGCCCCCTGCCCAGGTGGTGTGCGGCGTGGGCCGCGGGGACCGGCCTGTGCGGCACCACAACTCCCTACCGAGGACGCTGGAGGGGGCGCTGGCCCAGTGCGGCCTGGGCGACGCGGCGCAGGTGGCCGCCGTGCGGCAGCGCGTCAAGGCGGCGGCCGAGGCCGCGCTGGGTGCCGTGCTGGCCCTGGAGGCCGGCCTGAGTGCGGAGCAGCGCGGCGGGCGCCGGGCGCACACGGACTTCCTGGGTGAGTGCGGGCGGCCGGGGGTCTGGGGTCGGGTGATGGGAGCGAGGGCCAGGGCCTGGGGGGCGGGGGCTGTCCGCGCTGAGCCCGCTTCCCCTGCGTGGAGCAGGTGTGGACTTCGCGCTGACCGCGGCCGGCGGCGCGCTGACCCCAGTAGCCCTGGAGCTGAACAGCGGCCTGTGCCTGGAGGCGTGCGGCGCGCTCGAGGGGCTGTGGGCCGCGCCGCGGCTGGGGCCGGCGGCTGACGACGCGGCCGCCGCGCCGCTGGTGGAGACCATGCTCCGGCGGTCGGCGCGCTGCCTCATGGAGGGAAAGCACCTGCTGGTGGTCGGCGCCGGCGGCGTCAGCAAAAAGTTTGTGTGGGAAGCGGCGCGCGACTACGGGCTCCAGGTAGGCGGGGCGCGGGGCGGGGCCGGTACCCGGGTCCTGGCCTGAGTGGTGGAGGCGTGACTCCGGGGCGGGGCCTGAAACAAAGGGACGCCCTTGGGGCGGGGCCAGCCGCGCTGGGGGCGGGGTCCGGGGGCATCCTGGCCTCATGCACCAAAGCCAGGGCGTAGCGGCAGAGTTCTCCGCCTTGCGAGTGTGAGGGGACTCCTCCGCAGAAAGAGGAAAGGAGACCGGGTAGATGGGCTGGGCAAGGGACAGAGTTAGCGCCAGAACCCGGGCCTTGAATGCCAGGGGGCCTTGAATGCCAGGCTAAGGAGCCTGACTCTGTCCTGGAGAAAAGGAGGGCCCTTTGAAGTTGAATCCTGACACTTGGCACCCACAGAGGGTAGGTGCTGGGGATCCGCATACAGATTCAGAATCAAGTTCATAGCAGGGCCTCGCATTACAGAATCTGCAGTGAGCCAGGCACTTAAGACTCTTTTTTTTGGAGACAGGGTCTCACTCTGTTGCCCACACTGGAGTGCAGTGGTGCGATCACAGCTCACTGCAGCCTCTACTTCCTGGGCTCAAGCGATCCTCCCACAATGCCTGGCTAATTTTTTTTTTTTTTTTTGATATGAAGTCTTGCTCTGTCTCCCAGGCTGGAGTGGAGTGGCACAATCTCAGCTTACTGCAACCTTTGCCTCCTGGGTTCAAGCGATTCTCATGCCTCAGCCTCCCGAGTAACTGTGGTTACAGGCGTGTGCCACCATGCCTGGCTAATTTTTGTATTTTTAGCAGAGACAGGGTTTCACCATGTTGGTCAGAGTGATCTTGAACTCCTGACCTCAAGTGATCTGCCTGCCTTGGCCTCTCAAACTGCTGGGATTACGGGCGTGAGCCACTGCGCCCAGCCTGCCTGGCTAATTTTAAAAATTTTTAGTAGAGATGGGATCTCATTCTGTTTCCCAGGGTGGTCTTGAACTCCTGAGCTCAAACGATCCTCCTGCTTCGGCCTCCCAAAGAGCTGGGATTACAGGTGTGAGCCACCACGCCCAGCTGGGTAGACGTTCCTTTTTTTGTTGAGACAGAGTTTTGCTCTTGCTGCCCAGGCTGGAGTGCAATGGTGCCATCTCGGCTCACCACGACTGCTGCCTCCGGGTTTCAAGCGATTCTCCTGCCTCAGCCTTTTAACTAGCTGGGATTACAGGTGCCCCCCACCATGCCTGGCTAATATTTGTATTTTTAGTAGAGATGAGATTTCACCATGTTGGCCAGGCTGATCTCGAACTCCTGACTTCAAGTGATCTGCCTGTCTTGGCCTCACAAAATGTTGGGATTACAGGACAACTGCACCTGGCCCCGGATAGACATTCTTATCCCCATTGAACAGATAAGAAAACTGAGGTCTTCTCAAGCTGGCTCTAATCTAGTACAGTGGCCTCCTCTCCCTTCTCCCACAGTACAGCACCCCTGGGGACACCACCTCTTTGATCCCTGCCTTGCTTAGTGTGAGTGTGTTTTCCACTTGGAATGTCACTCCACTGCTGAGGCTGTCATACTTTGCAGAGAGCCATCCTCTCTCCCTCTTCAGTGGCTGCCTTGGCCCTGGGTTCCCCAGGAGGCAGTAAGCTTTAGGGGCACAGTGCCCCACTGGATTCCTCTGTGGGCACCTCCCAGTGTCAGAACACATGGGTTAAATGACCAAACCATTTGTCCCAAGCCCCAACCCTGGTAGTTTCTCTGCCAGCCCTGGCCAGTGAGGCTGCCTACAAGAAGGAGGCCACCGAGCTCTCCGTCACGCTCCCCTCGGCGCTGCAGCCCCTCCCCGCTAGCTCAGGCCTCCTCCTGCAGCCACCTGGCTGGCTGTTACTCTTTAGCTCCCCACTTAGGCTCCGCCTCCTCCAGGATGCCTCCCCTCCCCTCCAGCCTGTACTAGGTGTCCCACCTCTGCCCCTTCCATTTATTCAATTAGTCCTCAACACACATGTATTGAATACCTAGTGTTTGTGCGCTGGTTTCCCCGGAAGGCCTGGGCCATCCTAGGCCCTATCCTATCCTCCTAGCACCCATGGCTGACCTGGCTGTGTCCCTGCTCTGTGGTTTCTGCAGCTGCATCTCGTGGAGTCAGACCCCAACCACTTTGCATCCCAGTTGGTGCAGACCTTCATCCACTTTGACATGACCGAGCACCAGAGGGACGAGGAGAACGCTCGGCTGCTGGCAGAGCTGGTGCGGGCTCGCGGCCTGAAGCTAGACGGCTGCTTCTCCTACTGGGATGACTGCCTGGTGCTCACAGCCCTGCTCTGCCAGGAGCTGGGTCTGCCCTGCTGCCCCCCAGCTGCCATGCGCCTGGCTAAGCACAAGAGCCGCACCCAGCTGCATCTGTTGTGCCACCACGGCCCACCCTGGCCCGCGCCCTCCCTCCATGCTGTGCCCTGCTGCCCACTAGAGAGCGAGGCTGATGTGGAGAGGGCCGTGCACCAGGTACCCCTGCCAGGTGTCATGAAGCTGGAGTTCGGGGCAGGCGCTGTGGGTACGCGGCTGGTAAAGGATGCGCCACAGTGCTATGAGCACTTTTCCCAGATTACCCGAGACTTGCAGGGCGAGGCTGACCACCCAGGCATTGGGCTGGGCTGGGGCAATGCCATGCTGCTAATGGAGTTTGTGGAGGGCACCGAGCACGACGTGGACCTGGTGTTGTTTGGTGGGCGGCTGCTGGCCGCTTTTGTCTCTGACAATGGCCCCACGAGGCTGCCTGGCTTCACTGAGACGGCGGCCTGCATGCCCACTGGGCTGGCACCAGAGCAGGAGGTGCAGATGGTGCAGGCAGCCTTCCGCTGTTGCCTGGGCTGTGGGCTGCTTGATGGGGTCTTCAATGTGGAGCTCAAGCTGACAGGGGCTGGGCCTCGGCTCATCGAGATCAACCCCCGCATGGGCGGCTTCTACCTGCGTGATTGGATCCTGGAGCTCTATGGCGTGGACCTGCTGCTGGCTGCTGCTATGGTGGCTTGTGGCCTGCGTCCCGCCCTGCCCACCCACCCACGTGCTCGTGGCCACCTAGTGGGCGTGATGTGTCTGGTGTCCCAGCACCTGCAAGCCCTGAGTTCCACCGCCAGCCGTGAGGCCCTGCAGGCCCTGCATGACCGTGGCGTGCTACGACTCAATCTGCTAGAGGAGGCCCTGGTGCCTGGCAAGTATGAGGAGCCCTACTGCAGCGTGGCCTGTGCGGGGCCCAGCCCCACTGAAGCCCGCCTCCGCCTGCTGGGCCTCTGCCAGGGCCTGGGCATCGATGGGCCCAACTACCCTGTTGCCCACTTCCTGTCTCACTTCAAATAGCACTGGGGCCAGGGGGCAGGGAAGCAGTGCTGTGAGGAGGGACTGCGGTGCCCTCTGCTCCCTGGAGCTCTTTCTGCCTCTCTCCCCATCGCCGTGCCCCAGCCCCAGCCTGGCCACTCCAATAGCTAGGCCTGTTCCAGAGCAGCAGGGCAACTTTGTCACCAAGGCATCCTGGACTCAAGGGCCTCTTGCCCTCCCAAAGGCCCCAGTCTAGCCCACAGCTTCCCCAGCATTCTAGCCTTGAAGATGTGACAATGGCCGCACACACACACACCTCTGTCGCCACCTCCCCAGGTGGGAGCGGGCCCAAACCCAGTCCCTCCTGCTCACCCCTCTAGGTCTCACTCTCTTCCTGCCACCTACAAGAGGAGACGGCTTGGGGTGGGCCCCGAGCCTTGGACAAATCCGAGGAAAACCTGAGACTAGAGCCCTTGTCTTCCTCTTACCCAAATTCTAGGATAGCTTTAGAGCCTGCTAAAAACTTAGCGGCGTCCAGCCTGCCTCATTGGGCCTGAGTGGTAGAAGCAGGTGGCTGTGCACAGAAGTCATCCTCTTCCCGCACGTTCCCGGAAGACACTACTGCCCACGTTCTCCAGATGAGAGGAAACAGGCTGAGAGAAGAAAAATGAGTGCTCCACGTCATACCACAGTGGAGGGACAGTCACAGGACAGGAGGCAGGGGCCAGCTTCCTGTTTTGATCAAGTCTTACACGCCCATTCAGCTTCTATGCCCCCTCACCTCCCTGCCCTCATTCACAAGTGGCCCTGAGCCATGTGAACACCTGCCTCCCACGCATCACAAACCTTCTCCACCACGCTTTGGTGCTTTGGCCTCTGGCACACCTAACTAGCATTGGCAGAGGAGAGTCTACTCTCTTCCTCATTCAGGGAAGATGCTCTAAGAACTGCCCTTGTGCAGCACAGGAGCTGTAGACAGCTCCCCAAGCATCCCTCCCCAAATAAAGGCTTATGAACTAGTGAAGTGTCTAGATAGGTTCTCTTGCACTGGACAACTCCTCCCAGGATCAGACAGGGGGTAGGCAAGGGGGAGTAGAGATGGGTAGGGGATACTTGTAGCATCTGGAGCTAAGGGAAAACCACCCCACTGGCCTGGTGTCTGGGTTGATCTGGGTTGGCAGGGGCCTGCCCTACACCCATGTCAAGACCGGAACCTGAGGCTCTCCTTTGGTGGAATTACAACCAGAGGGCCATATCCAACCAATCACCCTCCGCATGCCTGAACACCCCTGCATTCTGTCCATCTCAGTTCATACCCGACATCCCCTATGCAACTGGAATGCAAACCTAGACAGCCTCCAACAATCAGAACTCACACCCAAAGCCTGGTATGCCCCAAATGCACACGCACACATCCCCACCCTACAAGAATCCATACTCAATCTTTCAACCTTTTTTTTGAGACACTGTTTTAGGCTTGTTGCCCAGGCTGGAGTGCAATGGTGAGGTCATGGCTCACTGCACCCTCCACCTTCCGGGTTCAAGTGATTCTCCTGCCTCAGCTTCCCAAGTAGCTGGGATTACAGGCACCTGCCACCACGCCCAATTAATTTTTGTATTCTTAGTAGAGACGGGGTTTCACCATATTGGCCAGGCTGGTCTTGAACTCCTGACCTCAGGTGACCCACCTGCCTCTGCCTCCCAAAGTGCTGAGATTACAGGTGTGACCACTGTGTCCTGCCAAATCCATACCCAATCTAAAGTCACTGACCAGCTTTGCTGGTTAATTCTTTTCTTTTTTCTTTTTTTTGGAGATGGAGTCTCACTTTGTTGCCCAGGCTGGAGTGCAATGGCATGATCTTTGCTCACTGCAACCTCCACCTCCCAGATTCAAGTGATTCTCCTGCCTCAGTCTCTCAAGTAGCTGGGACTACAGGTGTGCACCACCACACCCAGCTAGTTTTTGTATTTTTAGTATAGATAGGTTTTGACATTTTGGCCAGGCTGTTCTCAAACTTCTGACCTTGAGTGACCTTGGCCTTCCAAAGTGCCGGAATTGCAGACATGAGTGCATGAGTGACCCGCTCAGCCTGTGTTCACTCTGTCGACACAGTTTTTGTTTTTTGCTGGGCGCAGTGGCTTATGCTTATAATCACAGCTCTTCGGAAGGCCAAGGCAGGAGGATCACTTGAGTCCAGGAGTTCAAGACTAACCTGGGCAGCAAAACAAGACCTCTTCTGCAAAAAAAAAAAAAAAAAGAAAAAGAAAAAAAGATAAAAGAATTAGCCAGTTGCGCAGGTGTGGTGGCATGTGTCTGTCATCCCAGCTACTTGGGACTTGAGGTGGGAGAATCACTGGAGCCTGAAAAGTCAAGGCTGCAGTGAGCCATGATTTTGCCACTGCACTCAATCTGGGTGACAGAGTAAGATCCTGTCTGAAAAACAAAACAAAGAAAAAAAATAGTTTTTTTTTTTTTTGAGATGGAGTTTCACTCTTGTTGCCCAGGCTGGAGTGCAATGGCATGATCTCATCTCACTGCAACCTCTGCCTCTTGGGTTCAAGTGATTCTCCTGTCTCAGCCTCCTGAGTAGCTGAGACTACAGGCACCTCCCACCATGCCCAGCTAATATTTTGTATTTTTAGTAGAGATGAGGTTTCACCATGTTGGCCAGGCTGGTCTCGAACTCTTGACCTCGTGATTTGCCCACATTGGCCTTCCAAAGTGTTGGGATTACAGGCATGAGCCGCCATGTCCAGCCCTTATTTGTTTGTTTTGAGACATGGTCTCACTCTGTCGCCTAGGCTGGAGTGCAGTGGTGCAATCTTGGCTCACTGCAACCTCCCCTGCCTGGGTTCAAGCTATTCTCCTGCCTCAACCTCCTGAGTAGCTGGGAGTACAGGTGTGTGCCACTATGCCCAGTTAATTTTTGTATTCGTAGTAGAGGCAGAGGTTCATCATGTTGGCCAGGCTATTCAACTCCTGGCCTCAAGTGATCCACCCACCTTGGCCTCCCAAAGTGCAGGGATTACAGGCGCGAGCCACCTCGCCTGGCCTGTTAATTTTTTTTTAAGATAGGATCTCTTGAGATCGATCCAAGATGGCCGACCACTAACAGCTCAGGATTGTAGCTCCCAGTGAAAGCTCAGAGAACGAGACGACGCCACATCTTTAGACGAATTTTCGTCACTCACCGATTAGCCGATTCCCAGTGGAGGAGCCCCACGGGTCGCCAGCGTGACTCTTGTGGCCGCCGCAGCGGTTTTGCCGGCGTCTCGGCGCAGCAGCTCTTCATGCAGAGCCAACGGGACCGCTTCCCCTACTGACCGGAGTTTGGAGCTCCGGGAAGTCAGAGCCACTTGTTGCAGACTCAAGAGGGAAGCCAGACCAGAGATTCCCGGGCAGAAGAGCACCATCAGTCTCACCGATGCTATTTAGGCTGCCACAGTGGGTGGCTCGGATCCCAGCACTGGGAGTCAATAAGTCAGACGTCGACTCAGAAACCTAATTAGAAAGGCGATTCATCTACAATGAAGGGAAAAAAACAGCCTAAGAAGGCCGAGTATACTCAAAATCAGAACCCATCAGCAACGGAACAAGCCCTGATGGAAAAGGACTCATCAGCAACGGAACAAGCCCTGATGGAAAAGGACTCATCAGCAACGGAACAAGTCCTGATGGAAAAGGACTCATCAGCAACGGAACAAGCCCTGATGGAAAAGGACTGTGATCCATTATCTGAAGTAGGTTTAAAAGGTGGATGATGAGAAACTTCTGGGAGTTAAAGGAACTTGTTCTAACCCAATGTAAAGAAACTAAGAACTTGGAAAAAAGGTTAGATGAAATGTTGAAAAGAATAGACAATATAGAGAGGAATACAAATGAACTTATGGAGTTGAAAAATACAACACGAGAACTTAGTGAAATATGTACAAGCTTAAACAGCCGAATGGATCAAGCAGAAGAAAGGGTATCAGAGGTCGAAGACCAACTTAATGAAACAAAACGACAAGACAAGAATAGAGAAAAAAGGATAAAAAGGAATGAGCAAAGTCTCCAAGCAATATGGGACTATGTGAAAAGACCTAATATACGCTTGATTGGTGTACCTGAATGGGATGGAGAGAATGAATCCAAGCTGAAAAATACTCTCCAGGACATTATCCAGGAAAATTTTCCTAATTTAGCAAAGCAGGACACTATTCAACCCCAGGCAATACAGAGAACACCACAAAGATATTCCTCAAGAAGACCAACCCCAAGGCACATAATTGTTAGATTCACCAAGACCGAAACGAAGGAGAAAATATTAAGGGCAGCCAGAGAGAAAGATCAAGTTACCCCTAAAGGTAAGCCTATTAGGCTTACAGCAGATCTCTCAACGGAAACCCTACAAGCTAGAAGAGAGTAGGGGCCAATATTCAATATACTTAATCAACAGAACTTTCAGCCCAGAATTTCATATCCTGCCAATTTAAGCTTTACATTTGAAGGAAAAATAAAATCTTTTAGGAACAAGCAAGTACTCAGGGATTTTATTACCATCAGGCCTGCTTTACAAGAACTTCTAAAAGAAGCACTATACACAGAAAGGAACAACCAGTATGACCCTTTCTAAAAATACACCAAAAAGTAAAGAGCATTAACATAAAGAAGAATTTTTATCAACGAAAGGACAAAATAGCCAGTTAATATCAAATGGCAGCAACCCTAAATTTAAATCGACCAAATCTCCCAATCAAAAGATACAGACAAAATCTAACGGTATATCCAAAGATATACCTAGACTCAAAATAAAGGGTTGGAAAAAAAAAAACGTACCAACCAAATGGAGAGCAAAAATAAATAAATAAAAAGCAGGAGTTGCAATTTTCACATTTGACAAAATAGATTTCAAAGCTACAAGGATACAAGGGTAAAAGGATTAATGTAATAATAAGAGATCTTAACACCCAGATACATAAGACCCATAATGAGATTTAGATTCAACGAGACAGAAAATTGATAACGATACCCGGGACTGGAACTAAGATCCAGAACAAATAAACTCAATAGAGCTCTCCATTTTAAACACACAAAATATACATTATCCACAAAATCTAACGATATATCTAAAGATATACAAAGACTCAAAACACGGGGATGGAAAAAAAACTCACCAACCAAATGGAGAGCAAAATAAATAAATAAAAAGCAGGAGTTGCAATTCTCACACTTAATAAAATAGATTTCAAAGCTACAAGGATGCAAGGGTAAAAGGATTAATGCAACAATAAGAGATCTTAACACCCAGATACATAAGACACATAATGAGATTTAGATTCAACGAGACAACAAATTGATAACGATATCCAGGACTTGAACTCAGAGCCAGAACAAATAAACACAATAGAGGTCTCCATTTTAAACACATAAAATATGCATTAACCACTTTAAACACTCAAAATATTGATCGGCCATTATTGAAACCCATTTTAGGAATGAAGTAATATTCCTTTTTCCCTCTTTTTCTTTTTTTCCCCTTCTTTTTCTCTTTTTCCCTCTAAAAATAAAATAAAATAAAATAAAATAAAAAAGACAGGATCTCACTCTGTCACCCAGCCTGGAGCGCAGTGACACCATGATAGCTCACTGTAACCTTGAACTACTGGTCTCAAGTGATCCTCCCAACTTGGCTTCCCAAAGTGCTAGGATTACAGGTGCAAGGCATCTTGTCTGGCCTCAACAGTTTTTTTTTTCTTTTTAGATGGAGTTTTGGCCAGGTGCGGTGGCTCATGCCTGTAATCCCAGCACTTTGGGAGGCTGAGGTGGGCAGATCATGAGTCAGGAGTTCGAGACCAGCCTGGCCAATATGGTGAAACCCCGTCTTTACTAAAAATGCAAAAATTAGTCCGCGTGGTGGCAGATGCCTGTGGTTCCAGCTACTCAGGAGGCTGAGACTGGAGAATTGCTTGAACCCGGGAGGCAGAGGTTGCAGTGAGCCGAGATCACGCCACTGCATTCCAGCCTGGGTGGCAGCGAGACTCTGTCTCAAAAAAAAAAAAAAAAAAAAAAAAAAGATGGAGTCTTGCTCTGTTGCCCAGGCTGGAGTACAGTGGTGAGATCTCGGCTTACTGCAACCTCTTTCTCCGGGGTTCAAGCAATTCCATGCCTCAGTCTCCTGAGTAGCTGGGATTACAGGCGCCCGCCACCACACCCAGGTAATTTTTGATATTTTTAGTAGAGACGGGATTTCACCATCTTGGCCAGGGTGGTCTTGAACTCCTGACCTCGTGATCCACCCGCTTTGGCCTCCCAAAGTGCTGGGATTACAGGCGTGAGCCACTGCGCCCAACTCAAAGTTTTTTGAATTGTCTATTCTGTACCAGGTGCCTAAATGTGCTTAAAGTGACAAGGGAGTAAATTCCAGCGAAGTCCCATATTTACAGGTGTATCACTGACCCCCGAAACCCTTTAGGGTGGGAACCTGGCAACAGAGCCTGGCAGCGAGCTGGCCACACAGTAAATGCTCCGATCTGCAGGGTCCTCGAACCAGAGGCACTTTGAGGAGACCCTGAGGCAGCCTCCTCCTTTTCAGGAGAGAATCGAAAGGCGACCTGCGTTTCATCACCCAGCCGGCTGGCAGTACCCGGCTCCAACGGGGATAGGGATTGCATTTAAATTCACACCTGCATACACTTCCGAACCTACCCCATCCAAACTCAAAACTCTCTCTAGAACCAAAACGGGTTCCCAGAGAGCAGTTCTGGGAAGACCGAGGGTCCTGCCGAGGGGGTTTCGCAGGCTAAACGCCTGGCGCCTCGACACTCTAGGACTACAATTCCCGAGAGGCCGTGCGACGAACGCCATCTTGGTTCCCCACAAGGCTAAGCGATTTTCCGGAAAAGGAGTAAGGCCTTTTTTGCATCATCGGCGCGCGCGCGGCCGCCGTCGCGGAGAGATGACGTTTCGGTTCGGGACTGTCACTCAGAGCCCGGCCAGGTACTGGCCGAGGGGCCCTCGGGGCCGGTGCCGCCATGGCGGCCGTGTTTGATCTGGATTTGGAGACCGAGGAAGGCAGCGACTGCGAGGGAGAGCCAGAGCTCAGCCCCGCGGTGAGTGCCCCACCCTGGCGCGAATGGATCCCGGAGCCGATCCTGTCACCCAGCCGAGGCCGGAGCCGCGACTCCGCACGCCCAGACCCGGAGTCGGCTCCGACCCGTTCCAGACCCAGATCCTGCTTAGATCCCACCCTCACCCCGACCTCTCTTCCAGACCTCAGGCTTTTCCCAGATTCTCCTTTTCCTGCCCTCATCTTCTTCCCAGTTCTTGCACATCCCTGCCAGCTGCCATCCTGACACCCTTCTCTCCTGGGCCAAGCAGTCCAGCCTGAGCGGGAGCAGGGAGGTTTCCTGGCACCTTCCTTGGCTCTTACCCCTCGGTTTCTCACAGGACGTGTGTCCCCTTGCCGAGTTGAGGGCAGCTGGCCTGGAGTGAGTGAGAGACGTGTTGGGGGAGGGGGAATACAGTGGGGAACGGGAACTGGGGAGCACTGGAGCCTTGTCCTCATTGACTCCTTGTGTCCGTAGGCCTGTGGGGCACTATGAAGAGGTGGAGCTGACTGAGAGCAGTGTGAACCTCGGCCCGGAGCGCATCGGGCCCCACTGTTTTGAGCTGCTGCGTGTGCTGGGCAAGGGAGGCTATGGCAAGGTAGGGCCGGCGCGCCCTCCTCTTGGCCTCACAGCCTCCATGTGGAGGCGGCAAAGGGTTCTCAAAACAAATTAGACTTCTGAATCAGCAGATCCTCTAATAGGATTCAGAGCCAGAAACAAAGGAGGGAAGGCCAAGTCCTCTCCAATCTGACTTGAAATCTTCACTGCCCCACCCTTGGCAGGGCCTAGGCCTCCTGGTCCCAAAGCCAGAGCTTCAGGGTGGGGCTTCCTGAAGATAGGGTGTGGAGAGAGAAGCTGATCCTTCTCCCCTGCCCTCCAGGTGTTCCAGGTTCGAAAGGTGCAAGGCACCAACTTGGGCAAAATATACGCCATGAAAGTCCTAAGGAAGGTGAGTTACTGGTTCAGCCAGTGAATACTGTGTGGCTGCTATTCCCCACGTCTGTGCCAGGCTTTGGAAGACAGCAGTGAACACAGTGGACGAGGGTCCGTGTCTTTGGCATTTGCTGGTTTATTGTCTGCTGTATAATGTCTTGTAGTAATTCTCAATGGGGGCAATTTTGACTCTCAGTGGACATTTGACAATGTCTGCATCCATTTTTTTTTTTCATTTTTTTGAGCTCTGTTGCCCGGGCTGGAAGGCGGTGGCTCGGATCCTGGCTCACTGCCACCTCCGCCTCCCAGATTCAAACGATTCTCGTGCCTTAGCCTCCTGTGTAACTGGGATTACAGGTGCCCGCCACCACACCCAGCTAATTTTTGTAATTTTTGTGTAGGTGGAGTTTCACCAGGATGGTCTAGAACTCCTAATCTCAGGTGATCCACCCACTTCAGCCTCCCAAAGTGCTGAGAGCTGGGATTACAGGCAGGAGCTGCTGTGCCTAGCTTTTTTCTTTTTTTTTTTGAGCTGGAGTCTCACTCTGTGGCTCAGGCTGGAGTGCAGTCGGGCACTCTCCGCTCACTGCAATCTCTGCCTCCCAGGTTCAAGCAGTTCTCTTGCCTCAGCCGCCTGAGTAGAGCTGGGACTATAGGCGTGTGCCACTACACCTGGCTAATTTTTTTGGTATTTTTAGTAGAGATGGGGTTTTGCCATATTGGCCAGGTTGGTCTCGAACTCCTGACCTCAGGTGATCCACGCGCCTCAGCCTCCCAAAGTGCTAGGATTATGGGTGTGAGCCACTGTGCCCGCGGCATGGACACATTTTTGATTGTCAAGGCGAGAGGGGAGTGTTACTGGCTCCCGGTGGGCGGAGGCCAGGGATGCTGCTGAATCCCATCGTGCACAGGACAGCCTCCCACAACAAAGGATGGCCTGGTCCCAGGTGTCAGTAGTGCCGAGGCTGAGAAACCCTGTGTTAGAGGATAAACATCTCTGAAAGTGATGGTTGCTGACAGCAGCAGAACTGTGGAGAAATACAATGGAGTGCCCAAGGATGGCAGCGGGTAATGGCTGGACGGTCTGAGGAGCTCTGGATGTCCCCAGTTTTTGTTGTTTTCTGAGGCAGAGACTCACTCTGCTGCCCAGGCTAGAGTGCAGTGGCGTGATGTCAGCTCACTGCAGCCTCTGCCCCTGGGTTCAAGCAATTCTCCTGCCTCAGCCTCCTGAGTAGCGAGGATTACAGGCGTGCACCACCATACCCAGCTAATTTTTGTATTTTTGGTAGAGACACGGTTTCACCATGTTGGCCAGGCTGATCTCAAACTCCTGACCTCAGGTGATCCACCTGCGTTGACCTCCCAAAGTGCTGGGGTTATAGGTGTGAGCCACCGTGCCTGGCCTGGATGCCCCAGTTTCTAACCAATTCTTGTATCTCCAGGCCAAAATTGTGCGCAACGCCAAGGACACAGCACACACTCGGGCTGAGCGGAACATTCTGGAGTCAGTGAAGCACCCCTTTATTGTGGAACTGGCCTATGCCTTCCAGACTTGTGGCAAACTCTACCTCATCCTCGAGTGTCTCAGTGGTATGAGTGCGGGCCCAGGCGGGGGTAGGGATGGGGGCTGGGAGCCAGCACAGGAAGCTCTGGGAGCTCTGGGGGGAAGCTCTGAGAAATGAGTCTGTGGGGGTTGGCTGGGGGGGCCCCCAATCCATCTTACCCATCCATCGTTTATTCATCCCATCGTTCATTCATTCATTCAGCAAATGTCTGTCCAGCACCTACTGTGTCCCTCACCTGTGTTGGGGTGGGTGGCATGGGGGGAATTTGGGTAGAAGGCCAGAGGATGGTTTTGTCTCTTCCTACTGCCCTCCCTGTCTTGTTCTCTCCTGTGTGCCCTGCATCCAGTCAGGTCCCCAGTCCAGTCCAGTTGGTTCATTCTCTGCAGCATCCTCCTCCATCCATCTACTCTCAGGGGCCTGGTGGGGTGGTCAGAGCACTTTTCTAACTGGGCGGAGGCGTCTTGCTCACCTGCTTTCTAGTGTCTCCTCCACTGACTGCTGAGGTCGTAGAGCCTGGGGCTGCTCCCGGCCCTTCTGTTCAGAGTCCCGTGGCTTGCTGCCCAGATCAAGCCCACCCCTGGGCCCACTGTCCCCTTCTGGCTATGAGCAGTCTTGGCCTGCTTTTCCCTCGGTTGGGCCAGATGAACCCTGCGAGCCTCTGCCTCCATGCTCTGCATTTGCTCCCATCCGTCTCAGCAACCCCTTCAAGTCCCAGCAAACCTCAGTTTCTCTGTTCTGTTGTGCTGGGATTCACTCTGTCTTCCCTGTCTCTTCTGCGAGAGCTTTGAGCTAAGCTCCTGGAGCTGTGGCCTGGGCCTGGCATATGAGAGCCATCGTGTACATGTCTGTCTCCCCAGTAGACTGAGCATCCTGAGGGCAGTGGCTGGGTCTCTTCATCCTGTCCCCAGCTTCACCCAGCACAGGGCCAGGCTCCGAGTAGGCGTCCGTAGATGTTTGCTGAATTGAATTGAATTCCCACGGCAGCTGTGTGAGGCAGGTAGGGCGGGAATACGAGTCCCACTTTCCCCAAGAAGAAATCAAGACTCAGAAAGCGCAAAGGGGCTTGGACCTAGCACCTGGCTGCTGATGTGTTTGTGTGGCAGGTGGCGAGCTCTTCACGCATCTGGAGCGAGAGGGCATCTTCCTGGAAGATACGGCCTGGTGGGTGTTACTCCTCCACCCTCCTACCAGGTCCCTCCTCCCCCTCCGCCAGGTCCCTGCCCTGCTCCCTCCTTTACCCTGTATTGTTTCTGCAGCTTCTACCTGGCCGAGATCACGCTGGCCCTGGGCCATCTCCACTCCCTGGGCATCATCTACCGGGACCTCAAACCCGAGAACATCATGCTCAGCAGCCAGGGTGCGCATGTGGGGTCTGCAATCTGTGGGGAGGGTCGAGGAGCCCGTGGGTTGGGTGCGACCCCGGTCACTCCTCTCCAACATTCTTCCTCAGGCCACATCAAACTGACCGACTTTGGACTCTGCAAGGAGTCGATCCATGAGGGCGCTGTCACTCACACCTTCTGCGGCACCATTGAGTACATGTAAGTGGCGCCTGGCTGGCCCAGGGGTCGGGAGGACAGCCCGAAGGGGCCTGGCCTGACTGACAGTTCCACCTGGACCCCAGGGCCCCTGAGATTCTGGTGCGCAGTGGCCACAACCGGGCTGTGGACTGGTGGAGCCTGGGGGCCCTGATGTACGACATGCTCACTGGATCGGCAAGTCCAGCCCTCGGGGAGGGGGAGGAGCAGGGCGGGAGGAGCCCCCTCGTGGGGCAGGGCCTGGTGGGAGGCCCACAAGGTTCCTCTCACTTTCCTCCTCCTCCAGCCACCCTTTACTGCAGAGAACCGGAAGAAAATCATGGATAAGATCATCAAGGGCAAGCTGGCGCTGCCCCCCTACCTCACCCCTGATGCCCGGGACCTTGTCAAAAAGGTAGGGCTCCCTCCTCTCTTCTCCTGGGCCCTGCCAGCCACTCTGCAGGGATTCCTGAGTCTCTGGGCTGTGGGGAAGCCAGGGCCACCCTGGCCTGTGCAGTTTGCCTCTGGGAGTAAAAGGAGCCCCTATCTTGAAGTCTGAGCTTGAGCCCCAGTTGCAGCCCCGACACACACCAGCTGTTGCCCTGGCCCAGTCCCTAGGTTGAATGCTAACCAGTGACACGCTTGTGATGGGCTGGCCACTCTTCCATCAAATTCGAGCATCAGAGGTGTTAAGGGGAGGCCAGGCAGCCACATAGGGAGTTGGCGCCTCACCGAAGCACCCGGGGGCAGTGCTGGGGTCTGGGAGGCTGTGCGTAGCCTTTGTGGGGAAGGTGGCATCCTTGACCAAACCTTGAAAGTCCCGAGGGTATCCATAGGTGGGAGCGGCACCTGCAGGCATTCTCTCTCATGTCATCTGACCTAGCTGGCCCTGGGACGTGGGGACACATGAGCGGTACCTGCCAGGCCCTCACCCTCTGTCCCTGTCCCACAGTTTCTGAAACGGAATCCCAGCCAGCGGATTGGGGGTGGCCCAGGGGATGCTGCTGATGTGCAGGTGGGTTTGGGGCCGCCATCAGGGGTGGGGCTGTCTCCAAGGGTGCCGGGAATGGGAACAGGGCCCTAGGGCAGAGTGAGTGAACAAAGGGGCAAGGGGGGCGAGCCGTTAGTGGGTTTGGGGCATTCTCTGCCCACAGAAGCACCCCTTTTTCCGGCACATGAATTGGGACGACCTTCTGGCCCGCTGCGTGGACCCCCCTTTCAGGCCCTGTCTGGTGAGCAGCCGGCCTGGTGGTGGGTGGCTGATGGAGGACCTACACCTTGGTGCCTTCTGACCCCTCCCCCCTCTGGTCGGCCCGTAGCAGTCAGAGGAGGATGTGAGCCAGTTTGATACCCGCTTCACGCGACAGACGCCGGTGGACAGTCCCGATGACACGGCCCTTAGCGAGAGTGCTGACCAGGCCTTCCTGGTGAGGGCAGGGGCCTGGGGACATGGGACGAGGGCAGGGATTGTGGCTGAGGGTGGCAGGCACTGAGTGTCTCCCGGCCCTGCCTCCGCCCCCAGGGCTTCACGTATGTGGCGCCGTCTGTCCTGGACAGCCTCAAGGAGGGCTTTTCCTTCCAGCCCAAGCTGCGCTCACCCAGGCGCCTCAACAGCAGCCCTCGGGCCCCTATCAGGTACTGAGGGACAGTGGGTGTGTGGCTGGGGCAGGGGCGCTAACAGCAGGACGCCAGCTCCAGCCTTGGGTGCCTTGGCCACGCCTATCAGCCAGTATTGGCCTCGGTGGCTGTGTCTATCCTGAGGACCCTAGTCCCGGTATCCCTTGCGGCCAGGCTACCTGGATGGGAGCCTGTGTGCCCCAGCAGGTGGGAAAGCCTGCCTTCCCTGATCAAGTGCTGGCAGGGCCTGGCAGGGCCTGGGAGGCTCTTACTCTGCCTTGGTTTCCCCTGCAGCCCCCTCAAGTTCTCCCCCTTTGAGGGGTTTCGGCCTAGCCCCAGTCTGCCAGAGCCCATGGAGCCACCTCTACCTCCACTCCTGCCACCGCCGCCGCCGCCACCACCACCACCGCCACCCTCGATCACCGCCCCTCTCCCCATCCGTCCCCACCCAGGGACCAAGAAGTCCAAGAGGGGCCGTGGGCGTCCAGGGCACTAAGAGGCTGGGTTGGGGGAGGGCCACCCTCGAATCCTGTCCCTGCGGCTGTGAGGGCAGCAGGATCCTGGGCCAGTTCCAGAGACCTGGGGGTGGGTGTGAGTGCCTGTGAGACTGTGTCTGCTGGGGCGGCTGGGCCCCTGAATCGTGAGCATGGAGGGCTCCAGGCTACAACTGCTGGGGCCAGGGCCCTGCTGCCCACCGCCCCCGCACTCGGCTGTTCCCGTGGAAGATTAAAGGGCTGAATCATGGCGCTGACCTGGCTCTTTCCCCTGCAGTCCTGGGGGCAGGGGTGGGTTGGATCGAGGGAGAGGTCTCTGTAGGACCACGGGGTCACAGGCTGGAGTGCTTTTATTTCAAATAGTTGCCTGATGTCTCTGGGATTGGGGGTGGAGGCCTTCCTGTGGTGAGTAGGGGGACACATGGACTTGGAAAGTGATTGAGGTGGCAGTCTGAGGTGTGGCCATGTGGGGTGGGGGTCCAGTCCAGCCATGGCATCTTGGGAAGCAGAGGCACAGGGGTTGAGCAGCTGTGACAGGGATGGGACACCAAGACCGGCGTCTACAGTGCTGTGACATGGAGGCCCTGGGCCCCAGCTGCCCTAGCACTGTCATCCCAGGCTGCGCTGCCAGCAAAGGCGTGCAGGTCACTCAACAGGGCCTCAGCACTGCCCCCTGCGCTCGCCGGCCCTGGGGAGCTGAGGACCAGGTCTCCCTCTGCATCACTGTCTCTGGCTTCCTCAGCCTGCACAGGGACCTGCTCCGGGCTGGGCGCCTCTCCACACCGCTGCTTGCCTTCCCCGGGGTCAGCCTGCAGGCCACCATCCGCAACGCTGTCATAGTCTGCATCTTGTTCATCCTCCTGCCGCTCAAGGTCTGGGGACCCCAGCTCAGCTCGGGCCTGCAGCCAGCGGCCCGGGGGGCTGGCCCAGAGCAGGCGCTGTGTGCGGCCCCACAGCGCAGCACCCAGGCGGGCTGGGTGGTAATAGCCCCCTGAGTCACGGCTGAGGCGGCGCCAGGCCAGTGCCAGGCCAGTGGCCAGCAGCAGGAGCAGCAGCAGCAGCAGAACAATGGTGACAGAGCTGGAGCCCACGCTGTCCTCAGCGCCACCAGAGCCCAAGGCCCCTGGGAGGGCCAGCAGCATCCCGAGCCCTAGGGCCCAGGGCAGAGCCTGTGGGAGACAGGCAGGGGCTCAGAGGGCTCAGCACCAGGGGTGGGGGCCCCATGTGGGGCAGGCTGGGTGACCAAGACCACTTGCCTTTTTTTCTCTTCTGGATCCTCTTGGGACAGCCAAGCAGAAAAGCCCAAGGCCTTATTTGGTCAACCAAGCTCTGGCCCTATGAGATCAGCCCCCATCCCTCCAACCTCCTCCCTACCGCTGCACCTCCCCCCACCGCTGCACTGAGCCGCCTGCCTGGGTACTTTGCCCTGGCTGTTCCCTCTGCCGGGAAGGCTCCACCTTCCCCCACCCTCCCCTCCTTGGGGCTGTATGGCTGTTCACCAGGCTCAAACTCCCCCCGCCCCAGGCTGGACCTGACCTTCATCTCCCCTGGTGTTGATCCCTGCAGCCCACCCCAGCACCCCCAGCACTCAACTGCCTTTCTTCTCCCATGCCGCCCAAGGCAGGAGATAATTGTACTGATTTTGTATGTCTGTCATCTTCTCTACCTCCCACAATAAGCTGCTAGGCGACAGGGGCTTTTTGGGTCAAGCATTAGGTGCTCAGTAAGTATGGGTTAAATGTGTCTAGGCTGCCTGGGTGGGTGGGGGAGGAGAGGGCGGGAGGGAAAGAGGCTGCTAGCTGCTGTCAGGCCTGGGATGGGGGATGGAGGGGCCTACACCCACCTGGAGGCAACTGCTCATCCTCTGCTTGGCCAGGTCCCCAGCCAGGGGTCTGTGAGGCCCCTCTTCCTCCCTCCCACCACAGGGCTGCCCCAGCTGCAGGGTTTCCGTTCCACTCCCAGTCCCTGGGGGCCCCAGGCGAGAAGGGCCGGGGGCTGGTGCAGCTGCCAGAGGAAGTCTGCGGTCGGAACAGGCTAGATGGGGGGTGTTGGGGGAGGAGTGCTGAGGTACAGCCAGCCGCCCCCCACCACCCCAGGCTGTCTGCCCAGGCTCCTGGAATGCAAGTTCCTGCTCACCAGACCAGGTGAGGGCCTTCCCAGGGTTGCTGAGGGGGGTCTGGACCAGTGTGGGGTGCTGGGGGGCCATACCTGGAGTCCCAGGGAGCCCAGCTTAAGTGAGAGAAAGGCTTAGCCTCTGCCACACTCTTTTTAGGTTTCACCTCTTACCCAGGGCCAGTGTGGGGCCCTTCTCAGCTCCTGGTACCCAGACATTCCATCCCTGACCTCCTGTGGCCCCCATCCCAAGAACCCGGGGGCTCCGAGGCTCACCATTGGTCCACAGGCCCCTCCGCGCCAGGCACCCACCTCCAGCTCTGGCTGTGTCGAGCGAGAAGTGAGCTCAGTGCTCGCCTGCAGCGAAGGGTGGCCCGTGTTTCCGCTTCCTGCCCACAGTACCCCACTTGCCCCTCCCTGCTACAGGACCCCTGGTTCACACCAGACCCTCCCAGGTCTCCAGAGGTGGCAGGGCTTCAGGGCCTGTCCTCCGAGGGAGAAGCAGCACCAGCTTGAAGCTGAATGCAGCATGTGTGCTCAGGTCCCCTGCCTCAGTTTCCCTGCCTGACAACCCAGGGGAGCCATGTCTGTGGGGCTGCACTGCCCCCAGACCTTCTGCACGTGTGACTCATGTGACATCATCTGTCTCCAGGTTTCCAGACTTCCCAGCCCCACCCTCCAGCGGCAGGTCAGCCTGGCTTTTAAAAAGAGAATTTTATTTTGGAATGAAAATATAGAGCCCACCCTCCCGCTTCCTCTGGGGAGGGAGGTCTGGGCCGTGGTGAGGGAAATGGTCCCTCAGAGGCAGAGGAGCTCGCCTGGGCTTAGAAATCCTCCACAGCAACAATGAGGAAAGCTCGGTGGTGGCTTCGGCCTGGGCCTGGGATGGGTCGGGGTGGGAACTGACCCCTGCTGCCTCAGAGGCCCTGGGCAGCCAGCCAGCCAGCAGAAGCTGAGTGGGAAGGGGGCAGAGGAGATGAAGGTGGCACATGGCTATGGCCCTAGGCATCCCCGTTCTCCATGCGGCCCAGCTGTTCCTCCAGGCGGCAGATGCGCTCCCCCTGCTCCTTGACCAGTGCCCTCAGGGCCCGCAGCTCCTGCATCACCTCCTCCAGCTTCCCAGCCTCCTGTGGGGATGTGAGGGGGTGGGGAGAGGGTGGGCTGGTCAGGGGCTGCTAAGCCACAGCCATCCCAAACCCACCACTACTCCAGAGAGGGACAGCAAATGGCCCAGGGCCACACGTGGGGCTCCCAACACCACCCCTAGCTGGGGGTGCATACCCCAGCTCTGGCCAGGCTGCCACTGGGGGTGGCATCAGCAGCTGTGGTGGTGGATGCAGGGGCCCCCAGGCGGGAGGAGCCTGGGGCCACGGCGGGCCGGCTGTCAGACAGCACGTTGCGCCGGCTGATCTTCAGGTCCCGCTGCTTGCTGGGCACGTAGGCCTCCCGCAGAGAGATGAGGATGGGGTCAGCGTCCCGCCCGCTCACCCACTCCTCGGCCTCCAGGGCTGCCTCGGGCCCGGCTGTGTCCGGGTACAGATCATCCTGGAAGAGGTCCGACTGGGCAGGGGCAGGGAGGTCAGGGTCAGGTGGGAGGCCCCATCAGGGTCCCTCATCACCCCCTGGCCCCAGGCTTACACTCTGTCAACCCATTCTCCCATAGCCTGGCCGGGAGGGACCTTTCTAAAGCTCAAATCTGGCCTTTCACTTCCCTTCTGGACAGTTAACAGCTCCCTCTAAAGCTTTCCCACCCTTCCTGGGCAAGGCCCCTGTCTCTATTAGCTTCCCCTGTAAGCCACAGGGGCCACTGTGTGGCTTTGTGGGATTCTGGGGCCATGGACTGTGAGCTCCTGGAGCAGGCCCCATCAGCTCAGCTCTGCTCCCCAAAATGTGCCTGGCACGCTGAAAGAGCACTTGGCCAATGCTGGCCAGAGAATCATGGAAGCGTGTTCAAGGCTCTGAGCGGGGCATCTGAGGCCAAGCCACATGTGGCCTGGTCCCTGCTTCATGAGATTCCCCACTGCAGCTAGTCTCCCTGTTCCTCTCTCCATTCCCACCACCATGCCCTTTGACTGGCCTGTCCCAGTGGAAGGCACCACCCCAGCTGTGCTTCCTGCCTCCTTCAGGAAGATCTCTGTGGCTGCCACTCCCTCCCTGACTGCCTGGTGTCCTCCTCCTCTGGCTTGTTCAGGGCAGGGCCCCTGCTCACCCTGTGTCTCATCCCCACTTTCCCCCTGCCTGGCACAGCCCCACAGCTGGCTGGTACAAGGGCAAGCTGGCATCTGTCCAACTCACTGCCCACAAACCATACTAGGTTGTGTTCCATTGCCCTGGTCACAACTGCATGGCCTGCCTGCTAGAGAAAGGGGCAAGTGAGCAGAGGGACGGGTGGCCTCACCTTTCTTGGCACAGTCATGACAATGGGCTCACACTTGCGCTCATGCAGTTTGTAGAACCTGGGGACGTGAGGAGGAGCCGTGGGTGGAACCCCTCCGCCCCTGCTCTCATGGCTCCCAGCATCCTCCACTTTCAGTCCTCACCCCCAGACCTCCACAGGCTGACCCCTAAGGCAGCTAGACCCCCCGACCCAAGCTGCCTCATGACAGTTCCTGTAGCCCACCCGGCCTCCCTGCTGCAAGGCTTCCTACAGGCCAACCCTGGCCCCAAGGCCCCCGTGGTGGATTCTGCTCCGAGCAGCCTCCATGGCCTGACCTCTCACCTTGGAGGCCCCTGGCCTGGCCCTGTCCTGGAGTGGCCTTGGTGGCTCTCTTACCGGGCGATCTCGCACTTGCTGACCTCCAGGCCCCGCTTGGGCATGCTGCCCATGCCCCGCTGGGGCTCCTTGCTGGTGAATGTGTTCAGGAAGTGGATGTAGGGGGGCTCCTCGGTGATCTCAAAGTACCGGATGCTGGAGTCACCCTGTGTGGGGAGGGGGCTCAGCACCGGGGCATGCCTCTGCCCTGCCCCTTGCCAGCCCTGCCCAGCCCCACCTTGCCGCAGACGTAGACCACACTGGTGTCGGGGTCGTAGAAAGGCAGCAGGGCCCCGTTGCTCGAGTCCAGTTCCTGCAGGGCCATGGGCTCCTCGAGGTTTTCCTGGCACATTGCAGGTAGTCAGGCCAAGTAGAACCTCCTTGCCCCCTGATCCCAGACCGCACCAGGACAGGCCTTAGCTGGCCTCACTAAGGCCACCCAGCCTGTCCCCTAAATGCAGGTGAGCTCTCTCCCACCTCTATGCCTTTGCCCACACGAAGACCCCCACCTGGCCCTCCTGGACCCACTTCATTCCCAGGGCCTCTCTTTCTCAGCCTCCTCCAGGCCTTAAGACTATGCCCAGGCCACGGAGCAGTGCTGAGACATACCCTGCCACGGGGGACCCAGGGTGCCAGCAGCACCAGCCCCTGCTTAAGGGGCCCTAGAGGTCACTATGCAGAAGCAGAGCGGGCTGGGGGCCAGGGTGCTTCTTGTGCAGGGCCGGGAGGCTTTCTAGAGGAGCAGGGAGGCTGGCACTGGCAGCTGGATGGTACAGGCAAGCAAGGGAGAGAAGGGGCCTTCCATTGGCATGAACAACATGGGCGAAGACATGGGCAGTGGGAGGCCATGGGGGAGTGGTGGGGCAGTTGGGCAAGCAGGGGGCAGGAGAGGAGAGGCTGATACCTCAAGTGTCAGGCAGAGAACCTAGGAACCACAGGCCTCTCCAGGGTGAACCCTGCCTGCCCAGCCCAGGGCGGAGCTCCCCAGAGTCGTGCCCACATCTCCAGCTTGCCCCCTCAGGCTGGCCACTCACCGGGTCCCAGAGCGCTAGCTGCCGCTCACTCATTCGGCTGAAGCCTGTGGTGAACACCTTGCCGTCGGCCAGGAAGATGGCCCGCATGGGCCGGGCACCCTCGTGAGCCTTCTCCCGCTCCTGTGGGAGGAAACAGGCTGGTCAGTGCAGTGTCGCACTTGAGGTCCTGGGCCTATCCACAGCCATCCTTGCCCTAGGGGGCCACGTACTGCCACCAGGGTGCCCCGGCGGGGGTCGATGATGCGCACGCTCTTGTCCTTGCATGCTGAGCAGAACAGGTTGCCGCTGCGGTTCCAGCTGACGTTGTAGATGAGGTCAGGGTGCAGGCCATCCAGGCGGTACAGCTCCTCCGCCGTGCCCACGTTCCAGATGAGTACCACGTTGTCACAGCCTGGCAGGTGAGGGCCATCAGCTCGGGCCAGGCAGGCGGCAGGAGGCCATTAGCTCACCAGGCCCACTCTGCCCACCACCCTGGGACAGACTGGGTCTCTCCAACTCTGAGGGCCTCAGCTTTCCCCTCTGTCAGGTGGGCTCTAGAGGGGCTGCTGGGATATATGGAGGGGTCTGGGGGGGACCAGATGGAGGGCGGTGCCGACCTGCACTGAGCAGCACATTGCGGGCTGTTGGGTGCCAGGCGATGATGCCCACCCGCTTGGTGTGCCCCTCTAGTACCACCACCGGCTCCGTCAGCGGGGAGGTCAGCCCGTTCTCTGGGATCTGCCACACCTGTGGTAAGGACAGGGCCACTGGGCTCAGTCCTCTGCTGGCCCTACTGTTGGTCCCCTTGAGCCACACCCGTAACCCTGGCCCAGCTAGTCTGTTGCCTCACCATGACCGTGCAGTCCTCTGAGCCGCTGGCGATGACTTCGTCGTTGTGGGGACACCAGTCGATGTCCAGGACAGGCCCCGTGTGCCCGCATACCGTCGGGTAGGCCTTGTCAATTCGGCCTGTCTGTGGGCAAGAGGAGGTGGTCAGTGGGCTCCACTCCTCCCAGAGCCTTGGTCTTTCCCCTCCATGGAGTGGGAATGACATGCAAGTCCTGGCTCACAGGTGGCCCTGATGTGACTGTACCCCACTTGCCAGGTAAGCAGGAAATGTCTGTTGCCTCTAAGCCTGACTCTGTGGCAACAGGCCACTCTCTGTCTGTGCTACTTGAGACAATAAATCTGGGTTCTAACGCCTGCCCAGCAGTGTGAGAAAGGGCAAGATGAGGGGTTCCAGGTGTGCAGAAACGCCCAGCAGGGGTGGCTGAGGTGCGTCCTCTTCCCCCAACCCTGACAGAACCCACCTTGCTTAGGGGGAGCACGAGAAAGGCACCCCCACCACTGGCTTCCACAATCACCGCCAGGAACTTGGGGTTGACAGCACAGAAGGTGCTGTCCCAGGTAACACGGGACACGCGAATGTCCTCATAGCAATGGTCGTTCTTGACCGGCTGCCCGAACACATGGCGGAATTTGCTCTGCCGGACCACTTTGCGGAAGGACATGTCTGCGGGACAGGGAGGCCTGGGGTCAGCGCGGCCCATCCCAACAACCCCAGCGCCCACCGGGGGCCCGGCCACCATCACCTTCCTGGGTCTCAGTTTCCCCAATTACAGAATGGGGTCACAGGTGCAGAGCCTGGCAGTGATCTGAGGGGTAAATGCACCCGGCTCTGACCACCGCGGAGTCCTGAGGGGCTTCACAGGATGCAGGGCCCCTCCCTGGCTCTGGCGTGTGCGCGGGGTGGGAGGTGGGAGGTGCCGGGGCTGGAGAGGATTCAGTTCTGCTGTAGGTCCCAGCCAGTCGGAAGCAGCCTCC